GTTTCAATATTCGTCGTCATACCTTTAAGGAACGCATCCCCGACGAAAACTGGGGGTATTACTGCATACCAAGGCCGTAGTCATGGAGTCAATATTGGGGGGGGACCAATTCTTACAGGAGGTGTGGGGGTCCCCCTCCAAAAAAAAAAATCTAAATTTCAAAACGAATTTCCTGCCTAAAATATTTTAAAAATTCACTAACACATAGGATGGACTTTTATTTATGTTTTACAATAATGTCTAATAGTTTATTGTATTACATTGCTCTGTTTTTTTCTTTTTTACCTTGTCTTGTTTCATTGTATGTAATGGCAGATGTTAGGGATTAATAAAGTACAACCGTAACCACAATCATATAAACAGAAATCTATTTTCTAGCAATATATTGGGGGGGACATTTTTAGCATATTTAAATATATATTATAATTACGGCCTTGCTGCATACAAGTTTTCCTCGCTTTATGCGGGTTTGGTTTGTGCGAATTTGCGTACACACGGCTAACCGATTTCTCCCCAAAATTCGCTATATATGCGGTTTGGATTCACTCAAAGGCGGATTTGCGGTTTCGCGTTTTATCCACCATTTTCTTTTTTTTACGCATCTACCGTATAAAGCGAGGCAAACGTGTGTATGTCAAAGGAAGTCCCCACGGCTTGTCCTGGCAAGGGGAACTTTTCATCGCTCCGATCAACACCGACACGAACACTTATGAGGGTAGGGCACGAACACATGTTGTTGACATCCAGACTTATCTTCCCCCCCTCCCCCAAGAGCCCCCGTACCCTTGTCCGACACCTCCTTTCTACTCTATCCCATATTTCACGCCTTTCTTGCCAAGCACCTTTCCTGAATCATTTCACTGGGTGTATTATGTTGAACCTCTGTCTCACCCAGGGGCGGTTTCTTCATTAGGGCGATTGGGCGACGCACCACCAATCTCAGCTGTTACTGTGCCTCTGGATATAGTCCAATCAGCGTCATGTCACGTTCTGTGGAGTACCGCCTCTTTTTGGGCGATTTTACTCCGGCTGAGAATCGCCCCGAGTGGCCCCATAGACTTACATTCAAAGATGTATTTTTTCGAACGGGGGGCGCTGCAATGCATTCTCTATGGCTTCCGGGAGGGCTCGCACTAACGTGCTTACGTCATCATACGTAAGCACGTTTCAGTCAACAATATTATTTGTCGCTACCTAGTAGAATCTTTAATAAAAGATACTGAGTGGATTGTAATAATAGTGAGTATAGAAACAAACAAGATGTATTGTAAGAGTCACTTTATTTTTCATTAATATTAAAGAAGTGAAGTTGCCTTTACATGCTTAAGCTGTTAATTTATCCATTGCATGGGTGGACCTTATCCTTATCAATCATCCAGACATTTGCCCCCCCTGAGAGATTTTGCAGGAGCCGCCACTGGTCTCACCGTATGTAGCCAACCGTGCATGACCCCTCCATTCAATCCTGGCTTGCCCCTGCACGACCTCCGCATATATCTGCACAGTCAGCTCTCAATCATCCCCGGGCGAGGTGGAAGAAGGGCAGCCCAGATAAAAAAAACGAAAACACAGACAATGCAAAACATACGTGAATTAGGCTGTGCAAAAAACTTTTTTTTACACGCTTTTATTTAACTCACTCTGTCTGTTGTTGTTGTCATATCCTCAAATCTTGTAACTCAATTTTAACTCACTTCCCAACGTGGTATCGCCTGCAAACTTGGTATACGTATGTCATACTGATGACAATACTATATTCTATCATTGAACATAAATAAAAAAATATTCTTAAACATTATTTTTTAAATGTTATGTTTCGGCTTGGGTCTAATTGTCCACGCTCAACTGACGTTGGCTGTTAATTCACCACGGCCCCTTACGTTATGGCAAGCCTCGGGGCCACTTCCTGGAGTCGTGGAGTTCTTCCATTACTCGTACGGTACATTTCATTAAAGCGTGTTTATAAACAAGTTTTTCTATTACTTATTTTACCGTGTGTTGTCCTCCCTCCACACCTCAGATTAGCACGGTTGGCTACATACAGTGTGAAAGAAGTTCAAAATACATAAATAAATACCACAGGAAGGAGAGTATATAATGTCGTGAATAAAGGTGGCGAGATGTTAACTACCTCGCCTGGTATACAGGAGGTCGTGGGTTTGATCCCGATCCTTACGCCTGCTGTATATTTGTAGTTTGCGGTGTCTCTCTCCCTGTGGTCGTGTGGATTTTTCTCGGGTTCCTCCGGTTTTTCCCTCCACATCTAAAAACATGCGTTTCGAGTATTTGGCTGCAATACATTTCCATGTGATGAGCCATTTCGTTGAGCTGTCATTTCTGGCCAGGTTGCTTCTGAAAAAGAGCTACGTAGCTCAATGGGCCTTACCTGGTAAAATTTTAAAGAGTCAAATTAGTCAGCCAATAGGAAAGAAAAGAGAGAAATGGGAAGAGAGGAAAAGGGTGGGAATAGAAACGGAGAAATGGGAGCAAAGGGTCACAAGAGGGAGTAAGCGGCTGCAGTAGGGCCTAGGCGCTGCTGCATTGAGCAGTGTTTGTTTTCAAAGGGGGCGGGGAGAGGGGATGCATCCAGAGTCACGTGACTTCCGGGAGGCTTGAGCTGATGTAGCCATATAGATAGTCATGTTTAGAGCTTACCGACAATGAACGTGGGTGAAGACGTAGCATGTGACGTCGGATTTTTTAAAATGAATTTTCAAAGTATTCGTGCGCCGAGTCACGAATGAGAAGCAGCTACAGTATGAGAATATCTTGGAAGCTTAGCAGGGTCTAGCCTGGATAGTGCTTGCATGGGCAAGCACCACGCATGGTTACAGGCTGCTGCAGGGCAATGTTGTTAGCTGAGGTAGTGCCACAATAATCCGATGTTGTACCTCACTATGCCCCAACGGCTATGCTGCTTGCATTTATCAACCCACTCTGACCAGCTGTCGTAAAGTTCGTCATAACAACCCTCACGGTCTGCATGGCACTGGTCATGCCCTTATCCAGCAGTGGAATGGCCAAAAGGGCCAAATTGTATTGACGCCAGATCATATTGACGCCAGAGGGGGTGTGGGTAGACCGATCTCTGCTGTCTCCGGGTTAGTCATTGCTGGGGTGCGTGCAACAATTTTCCCTCTCACCTTCAGGTGAACTCTCCTGAATTTGGGCCTTGTGATTCGAAATGTGTTTTTTAAATATGTCTATCTATCAATTAAATCATCAAAATTTGAGAATAGGTTTTCCCCTTTGTTTTCTGGCAACAAAACAGGTGTTAAGATGTTACTGATTGGTCCACAAGGACAATGCATAAATTATCAGAGTATGCTTTTATGTTTGCATTCTGACCACAAGTATTGTGGTTAATGGAGACATAATTCCTTGTAAAAAGGTTTCAGTTTGGTGTTTTAACATCTTAACACAGCTGTTTTGTTGCCAGAAAAAAGGGGACAACCTATTAAATTTAATGTTGTGATTAATGTAGCGGCCTATTTATGGCTGCAGGGGTCGTGTGAACCAATTGCATGGCAGCCCAGTAAACACGCAAAACGTCGGGCCAACGTTAGTTTACGTTGGATCAACGTTGGGCCAACGGGAGCAAACGCTGGGCCAACGTTGGTTGACGTTTTTCCAACTTTGGCCCAAACATTGAATGTTTACTGGGACCACATTACGAGTATAAAATAAGTCTTATGCGCGCGTTTTCATGCACGTGTAGTGGCATAGCGCTGGCTGCTGGCGAAAAAGGGGATCTGCGGTGTACAGCGGTACTGACGTCAGCAGGCCATGACAGATACGAGAGGGGGACATATCTGGGAAAGGTCACAGAAGGGGGCCCATCGGGAAGCCTCTGGAACCCGCTAGTAGGTTCCAGAGAGGGGGCATGGCCCGGGCAGAAAGGGGGCGTGGCCCAGGCAGAAAGGGGCGTGGCCAGGGCGGAGCGAGGCCACGCTGAGAGTATAAGAGGGGCCCCTGTGGGGGACCTCGGGGCTGTTGCTGGAAGTGGGATCCTCCGTCGTGCTGCTCAAGATCGTCGTTACCATCTCGTCGCCATCAACGCTGTTGCCTTCACTCGATATTGCGTTGCAAGATAGTTAGTTGTTGGCTGTCTCCGTTCAGTGCCGTCGGTGTTAGACGGTTAAGTTGTGTATAGGCTAGCGACAGTAATAGTGTGTACCCACGTAGGGTGTGTATTATCCTGATGGTGTTTGTTAAGTAAAAGAAGTGCCTCCAAGTCTTACTGCCTCCGAGTTAGTCACTGCACATGCATCGCGTGCGCAAGGATCGATTCAAATTGACGAATCAATGCATCGTCACATTCAAAATGAAACGTGAAAAAAGAGCATTGTGGATGGGCCAGGATTGGTGGAGGCCGGAAGGTCACCGAGACAGACACTCAGAAGTCGACGACTAAGGGGAAGATCTAAATCCACCTGGTGGTGATGATGATGAGACCTTACCAGCGATCCTAAAGGTATTTAAACGATAACGAGGGGGAGAGCTAAAGCCAAACGGTGGATGGGAACGATGAGACTGTAAGAGAGGACCTCGGAGATCGAGTGTCGACTGTGCAATAGCTCAGAAATGATGGCACGGAGAAGGAAGCAATGGCGAGGGATGGTCACATCAGCAATTTTAGCCTTTTAACACGTAGGCTTTCGTGACCAATATACAAAATACAGATTTTGTTTTTGTTGGGTTAGATCACGTAAGTATATAAATGTGTCGTTTAACCCGCCACCACCCGACACAGCCAATTGGTAAGGTTTGCCACGGAAACATAACGTGCCAATTCGTTACTAGTACAGCACGCCGGTGTGTTGGAGAGAAAAGCCACAACATTTACAGTCTGAGTACGACGTTATTAGCCTCGGTAAGGCTAATATTAGCCTCGGATCTAAATACATTTGAAAAAATTCGAATATTAATTTGTTTCGAGTGCCAATGAGCGTTGCTTGATTATTGTTTTTTTTGGGGGGGTTCCTCGTTCTGTCTTTCAGAAACCGACGCCACCACTTGCCCCGCTCGTCGTGCGTGCGCGCGTGCCACGTCCATCCGTCCGTCCGTCCATCGGCCCGTGGCGCCCCGGCGGGAACGATGTCCGCTGCGCGCCGCGTCGTGCGGCAGAGCAAGTTCCGCCACGTGTTCGGGCAGGCGGCCCGGCCCGAGTTTTGCTACGAGGACGTGCGGGTGACGCGCACCACCTGGGACTCGCCGCTCTGCGCCATCAACCCTCGCTTCATCGCAATCCTCACCGACGCATCGGGCGGCGGCGCCTTCATCGTCCTGCCCATCATCCGGGTCAGTCGGTCGGACGGCATCACGGTGGCAAGATGTTTGCCACCATCACCTGGCATCCGGGAGGTCACTGTTCATTCTAGATTTGAGGTTTTCGTGACTGCAGGGATCCATACTCTTTGGTTCTTTCGGTAAAGTCACGTGGGTATGAAATATAAAATAGATTAAATCACGACGGGCACTTGTGTTGCGCCCGAAACGTCGTGATTTAATTTATTTCATATTTTATACCTACGTGACTTTACCGAAAGAAGCAAAGAGTAAGGAGGCCATTGGTTCGATCCCGACCTGGATGTCTGCTACATATTTGGAGTGTACGGTGTGTCTCTCCCCGTAGTTGCATGGTTTTTTCTCCGGGCCCTCCGGGTTTTCCTTCCACATTTAGAAACATATGTTTAGAGTATTTGGCTTACTATACATTTCCCCACGTGATTAGCCACCTTGTTGAGCTATCATTTGTGGCCAGATCGCTTCTGAAAAAGAGCTATACAGCTGAGTGGCCTTACCTGGTGAAATAAAATAATAAGTAATATTTAAAAATACTTTTTTTAAAACACGCATTAATGAAATGTACCATACGAGTAATGGCAGAACTCCACGACTCCAGGAAGTGGCCCCGAGGCTTGCCATAACGTAAGGGGGCCGTGGTGATTTACAGCCAACGTGAGTTGAGCGTGGACAATTAGACCCAAGCCGAAACATAACATATAAAAAATATGGTTTAAAAATATGTTTTTATTTTTTATGATAGAATATAGTATTGTCATCAGTATGACATAAGTATACCAAGTTTACAGTCGGCAAGTGGGTTAAAATTGAGTTACAAGATTTGAGGATACGACAACAACAACAGACAGAGTGAGTTCAATAAAAGCGTGTAAAATAGTTTAGTTTTAGTTTAAATGAGTGAGAGGGGCGCCGTGGTGGTGAGATGTCACCTCCCTCGCCAGGTAGTGCAGGAGGACGTCATGGGTTCTATGCTGACTGAGCCTGACGATGATTTTGCCCTCCACATTTATAAACAGGTGTTGAGATGTATCTTGCTGCTGTATATTCCCACACATCATATGCAAATTAGATCACACTGGTCAACACACTTTTTCTGGCATCAGTTTTTGTCTATCACATCAGGTTTTTGAGATATCAAATGTTGCATTTTCAATAAAAACTGCAGAAGAAAAATATTAAATAAATGTGGATATCTACATAAAATGATATTATAAACACACTATCCTAAAAATACAGCACCATATTTTAACACTAAAGCAGTCACTGACTCGCAACAACTTGCAATCATAAGTGACAGTTAATTTCGGGTAAAATCAATGAAAATAGGGTATGCCGATAGCATAAAAATGTGATAGAGCAAATCTGAGATCAGATTTGGAATCAGCACCCTGTGAAATTAGTCTAAAACAGCTGCAAAAGTCCAGGCCAGAAAAAAATGTTTTTTATTGTTGTTGACCAGTGTTATCTATCTTGTGGCCAGATCGCCTCTAAAAAAATAGTTTAATGGGATTGACCTGGGAAATAAAATAGTTTAGCTTGACGTTTAGAGGAGAAAGAGACGGATACAGATATAGAGAGCGAAACAGAGTGAAGCCCATTGCCATGTTTCCATGGCCCCAAAAACAGCAAAAAGGGCCCACGTCTGAGTTTCCACCCCATGACTCCTTCCCTCACTTCCGAAGCTGGCAGTGTGGTTCGGGAAACGATGTTAAAAAAAATTGATATTTTTAGCAAAAATGTTATTCAAGTCATGGGATATATTAAATTATTGCTCGTATAGTTGCGTGTTATTATGTATCTTCTGTCATGTTTGTGAAACATGAACGTGGCTGGAAAGTTGGAAATGTTGGCTCTTGAGCCAGTTCCGTGCCGGCTGTGACCACGAGGCGTTCTGCTCGCTTAGCCATCACATTCAGTGCTTCGGGCATACACACACACACATATATATCGAGCCCTTGTCTAAATTTACTGCCGGAGGGAGCCTCCTCCTTAGGCTGTTGCTGGTCGCGGGGGTCATTTTACCATACCAAACTGCTCAGAGCGGGTTGGTGAAGGCAACGGCGAGCATCGTCATAGGAGCATGAAACTTGATTTGAAGCTTTCGTGACTTGCAGCAATTAATCTTTGGTTCTTTCGGTAAGGTCACGGAGAAAGAAAATAAATTAAATAACAGAGTACGTGTTGTCTCTCTCTCTGCTTGTGTCTGTGGGAGGGGTGGGGCTGGGTGTGGGGCTGGTCACCCCGTGGTGCCCTTATAAAACTCAACGTTTAACCTACTCACGCCGGCGTGTGCCCGCCCTCTCAGCCGGGCATATTTGCGGAATACACCACGCCGCCGTTGACCCTGGCCATTGACCGAGCAACCCAACGTTCCTACCAGCTCCCTCCGCAGGAATGTGTTTAATGAAAGTCCGTACATTCCAAAGTGATACAAGAAAATATGTGGTGTTTACCTCATGCTCATCATCATCATCAGTTGCTTGCCCCTGGCCGGAGTGTAGCAGTCCCCACGAGACGTCGCTGCCAGGAGACCCTTTTTCCTATTACTCTTTACTACATCTTTTTTTTTCCAGTTAAGGCCCACTGAGATAAATTGCTCTTCTTGCAGAAGCGACTTGGCGATCACAAATGATAGCTCAACGAAGAGGCTCGTCGTCGTGTGGAAACTTAAAGCAGCCAAATACTCTCAAACGGCGTGATGTTGATTCTAAATTTAGAGGGCGAAAAACCCGGAGGGCCCGGAGAAAAATCCACGCGACCACGGGGCGAGAGAGAGAGAGAGAGACACCGCAAACTCCAAATATACAGCAGCAGGCATCGTCAGCGTTGGGATGAAACCCACAGCCTCCTTGCGTACCAGGCGATGGAGTTAACGTCTTGCCGATACCGCCATGTGACCCTCTTTATCCTGAGCGCGCAGCCACACCGAGCACAGTCCACGACCGTGGCATTTGACGTCAGCTCCCACGTCAACCGTGTTCGGCCTAACGCTGGGGGGGGGGGGGTGGGAGCTTTCAACGAGTGACTATCTGGGCAAAGCACTTTCCGCGAAGCTCTTTCTTAAAAAATGGAGTGCCTTTTTTTTTCAGGGGAAAGAATGCCCTGGCTAGAAATATATAGCAGTTGGGGGGGGGGGGGGGGGTGGCACGTGACTGGACTTAAGTGTACGTTCCACTACCGATCTTTGCTGAGTTTTCCAAACCTTGCGACTCATGGCTTAGCGTGCTTGGCATGTGCCCTGGTGCAAGGAATGAATTGGGAGCCCCCCCCCCCCCCCCAGTCGTGGTGGAGCCATTGGGCATTCAAGCGGTGCAACTGCACCTGGCCCCAGCGCTGAGCGACCGAAACAGGAGGGATTCTACCGTAATTCTGGCTATCGCCTGATGAAGCTGGTTGCAATTAGCAGCGAAACGTCGCACTCCAATTGTCAACGTTGTGGGTTTACTCTCCAACACATTGGTGTGCTGAGCTAGTAACTAACTGGCATGTTTTATTTACGTGATAAACGTTGCGAATTGGCTGTGTCGGGTGGTGGTGGTGGGTTTAACGACACATATGTACATGATCTAACCCAAAGAAAAACCTCTTCTAATATGGATAATATTGGTCGAGAATGCCTGTGTTAAACTGAAGGAGGGGAACATTTATGGAAATTGGACATGCACCCCGATATCAATTCTTGCACCAAGGGCCTTGCCAAACACACAATGCGACTCGTAGCAAGGTTTGAAAAAGCCAGCCAACACTGACTCATGCAATACCGTAGGCAACTTTGACCGTACCGTATCTTATCAGCATTTCAACCGTGTCGTGAAACTTTATGATTCTTAGCACAACTGTGAAATTCAACACATGTGTTAATAACACTGCATTAAAAACGAGGACATGAGAGCCGACATTTCGTGCCACGGCCCTTCTTCACAGCACATGAGACGCTAGAGATGGTAGTTTTTTGTGATATTTGGGATTGTACACCGCTGCCAATGCAGTACTACCAAATGATGTGTTCACCATATCTGTGGGTGTTCATTGAATAATGTCTGTTGACAATGTTTGGTGGCAACTTGAAGCATGATGAGGCTGTGGCCTGCCCCGAAGATTCACAGCTCAAAAAATATTGACCACGTTTGTCATTAACACTGCTTCATGATGAACGGGTCATTTATGTACAGCAAAAATAAGTGCGATTGTTGCCACTGCATTGGTCATGCCGTTCAGGTTACATGACATCATTATACTGACAGTATAGTGCACAGTCTCGTTTTAGACAACTACTAAATTTAATTTTGTTGTCAAGAAATCAATTTGTGCGTGTGCTTTTTTTTCTATACGTATAAACAAATCTTCCTTGTATCCAGCTGATGGTAGTGTTGATGGTGTTATTGTTGATGGTGGTGATGATGGTGTTATTGGTGATGGTGGTGTTGATGGTGTTATTGTTGATGGTGGTGTTGATGGTGTTATTGTTGATGGTGGTGTTGATGGTGTCATTGTTGATGGTGGTGTTGATGGTGTTATTGTTGATGGTGGTGTTGATGGTGTTATTGTTGATGGTGGTGTTGATGGTGTTATTGTTGATGGTGGTGTTGATGGTGTTATTGTTGATGGTGGTGTTGATGGTGTTATTGTTGATGGTGGTGTTGATGGTGTTATTGTTGATGGTGGTGTTGATGGTGTCATTGTTGATGGTGGTGTTGATGGTGTTATTGTTGATGGTGGTGTTGATGGTGTTATTGTTGATGGTGGTGTTGATGGTGTCATTGTTGATGGTGGTGTTGATGGTGTTATTGTTGATGGTGGTGTTGATGGTGTTATTGTTGATGGTGGTGTTGATGGTGTTATTGTTGATAGTGGTGTTGATGGTGTTATTGTTGATGGTGGTGTTGATGGTGTTATTGTTGATGGTGGTGTTGATGGTGTTATTGTTGATGGTGGTGTTGGTGGTGTCATTGTTGATGGTGGTGATGATGGTGTTATTGTTGATGGTGGTGTTGATGGTGTTATTGTTGATAGTGGTGTTGATGGTGTTATTGTTGATGGTGTTATTGTTGATGGTGTTATTGTTGATTGTGGTGTTGATGGTGTTATTGTTGAAGGTGGTGTTGATGGTGTTATTGTTGATGGTGGTGTTGATGGTGTTATTGATGAAGGTGGTGTTGATGGTGTTATTGTTGATGGTGGTGTTGATGGTGTTATTATTGATGGTGGTGTTGATGGTGTTATTGTTGATGGTGGTGTTGATGGTGTTATTGATGAAGGTGGTGTTGATGGTGTTATTGTTGATGGTGGTGTTGATGGTGTTATTGTTGATGTTGGTGTTGATGGTGTTATCGTTGATGGTGGTGTTGATGGTGTTATTGTTGATGGTGGTGTTGATGGTGTCATTGTTGATGGTGGTGTTGATGGTGTGATTGTTGATGGTGGTGTTGATGGTGTTATTGTTGATGGTGGTGTTGATGGTGTCATTGTTGATGGTGGTGTTGATGGTGTGATTGTTGATGGTGGTGTTGATGGTGTTATTGTTGATGGTGGTGTTGATGGTGTTATTGTTGATGGTGTTATTGTTGATGGTGGTGTTGATGGTGTTATTGTTGATGGTGGTGTTGATGGTGTTATTGTTGATGGTGGTGATGATGGTGTTATTGTTGATGGTGGTGTTGATGGTGTTATTGTTGATGGTGGTGTTGATGGTGTTATTGTTGATGGTGGTGTTGATGGTGTTATTGTTGATGGTGGTGTTGATGGTGTTATCGTTGATGGTGGTGTTGATGGTGTTATTGTTGATGGTGGTGTTGATGGTGTTATCGTTGATGGTGGTGTTGATGGTGTTATTGTTGATGGTGGTGTTGATGGTGTTAGTGTTGAGGGTGGTGTTGATGGTGTTATTGTTGATGGTGGTGTTGATGGTGTTATTGTTGATGGTGGTGTTGATGGTGTTATTGTTGATGGTGGTGTTGATGGTGTTATTGTTGATGGTGGTGTTGATGGTGTGATTGTTGATGGTGGTGTTGATGGTGTTATTGTTGATGGTGGTGTTGATGGTGTTATTGTTGATGGTGGTGTTGATGGTGTTATTGTTGATGGTGGTGTTGATGGTGTTATTGTTGATGGTGGTGTTGATGGTGTTAGTGTTGGTGTTAGTGTTGATGGTGTTATTGTTGATGTTGGTGTTGATGGTGTTATTGTTGATGGTGGTGTTGATGGTGTTATTGTTGATGGTGGTGTTGATGGTGTTATTGTTGATGGTGGTGTTGATGGTGTTATTGTTGATGGTGGTGTTGATGGTGTTATTGATGAAGGTGGTGTTGATGGTGTTATTGTTGATGGTGGTGTTGATGGTGTTATTGTTGATGGTGGTGTTGATGGTGTTATTGTTGATGGTGGTGTTGATGGTGTTATTGTTGATGGTGGTGTTGGTGGTGTTATAGTTAATGGTGGTGTTGATGGTGTTATTGTTGATGGTGGTGTTGATGGTGTTATTGTTGATGGTGGTGTTGATGGTGTTATTGTTGATGGTGGTGTTGATGGTGTTATTGTTAATGGTGGTGTTGATGGTGTTATTGTTGAAGGTGGTGTTGATGGTGTTATTGTTGATGGTGGTGTTGATGGTGTTATTGTTGATGGTGGTGTTGATGGTGTTATTGTTGATGGTGGTGTTGATGGTGTTATTGTTGATGGTGGTGTTGATGGTGTTATTGTTGATGGTGGTGTTGATGGTGTTATTGATGATGGTGGTGTTGATGGTGTTATTGTTGATGGTGGTGTTGATGGTGTTATTGTTGATGGTGGTGTTGACGGCGTTATTGTTGATGGTGGTGTTGATGGTGTTATTGTTGATGGTGGTGTTGACGGCGTTATTGTTGATGGTGGTGTTGATGGTGTTATTGTTGATGGTGGTGTTGATGGTCTTATTGTTGATGGTGGTGTTGATGGTGTTATTGATGAAGGTGGTGTTGATGGTGTTATTGATGAAGGTGGTGTTGATGGTGTTATTGTTAATGGTGGTGTTGATGGTGTTATTGTTGATGGTGGTGTTGACGGCGTTATTGTTGATGGTGGTGTTGATGGTGTTATTGTTGATGGTGGTGTTGATGGTCTTATTGTTGATGGTGGTGTTGATGGTGTTATTGATGAAGGTGGTGTTGATGGTGTTATTGATGAAGGTGGTGTTGATGGTGTTATTGTTAATGGTGGTGTTGATGGTGTTATTGATGAAGGTGGTGTTGATGGTGTTATTGTTGATGGTGGTGTTGATGGTGTTATTGTTGATGGTGGTGTTGATGGTGTTATTGTTGAAGGTGGTGTTGATGGTTATTGTTGAATGGTGGTGTTGATGGTGTTATTGTGATGGTGGTGTTGATGATGTGATTGTGAATGGTGGTGTTGATGGTGTATTGTTGAAGGTGGTGTTGATGGTGTTATGATGATGGTGGTGTTGATGATGTGATTGTTGATGGTGGTGTTGATGGTGTTATTGTTGAAGGTGGTGTTGATGGTGGTGTTGAAGGTGGTGTTGATGGTGTTATTATTGATGGTGGTGTTGATGGTGTTATGTTGAGGTGGTGTTGATGGTGTTATTGTTGATGGTGGTGTTGATGGTGTTATTGTTGATGGTGGTTGTTGATGGTGTGATTGTTGTTGATGGTGGTGTTGATGGTGTTATTGTTGATGGCGGTGTTGATGGTGGCGTTGAAGGTGGTGTTGATGGTGTTATTGTTGATAGTAGTGTTGATGGTGTTATTTTTGATGGTGGTGTTGATGGTGTCATTGTTGATGGTGGTTTTGATGGTGTTATTGTTGATGGTGGTGTTGATGGTGTTATTGTTGAAGGTGGTTTTGATGGTGTTATTGTTGATGGTGGTTTTGATGGTGTTATTGTTGATGGTGGTGTTGATGGTGTCATTGTTGATGGTGGTTTTGATGGTGTTATTGTTGAAGGTGGTGTTGACGGCGTTATTGTTGACGGCGGTTGCAGTGCCATTGTTGTTGTTGTTGTTGATGATGATGTTGTTGGCGGTGGCCATCCCCCGCGTGTCCCACAGACGGGGCGCGTGGACAAGTCGAACCCCACTGTGTGCGGACACACGGCACCTGTCCTGGACATCGCCTGGTGCCCGCACGATGACAACGTCATCGCCAGCGGCTCCGAGGATTGCACCGTCATGGTGAAGATGGCGGCGGCGATGACGACGACGATGGCGGTCACACGGGGCGGCAGTCCATTTATAGACACCCCACTAAAATAGTAGGATAAAAATAGATTAAGGACCCGGATCGGGGAGCTCTATCACGCGAGAGCTGAGCTTTTGTTAACGACTGATGATGATGATGATGGTTGCAATCTCCAGTGAAATGTCGTACAAAATTGTCAAGAGTTTGCTTGACTTTGCACATTTCTGAGCCACCGATTTCACGATACTCAATCAGCTGTTGAGAAGGGTCGTTAGAGGTGGGGTATCTGTAAATGGGTCCCTGTACAGGCAGACCTCGCTGAAGCGCTTACGACGCATTCCTGGAGAAGTGAGCGCTAATCGAATTGGCGCTAAAAAGGGTCATTATAGCACTGCATATATGGGGATGCGTTTTCCGACAGCGTTATTTCTTTCATATGAGCATTGCGTGAAGGATACAATGGGGTATCGGTAATCGCGCAAATAATAATAGAGATACTAAACATTATACTGGTAGGAACCTCCTGGTTACATCAGGCCACAGGGGATTATTGTGTCCGTCCGTCCGTCGTGCATCCAAAAATGGGATGGGTGGGGCTGGGTGGAGAGGGGAGGGTGGGGAGGAGCTGGGTGGGGAGGGGAGGGTGGGGAGGTGGCTGGTTGGGGCTGGGTGGGGGTGGGAGGGGTGGGGCTGGGTGGGGAGGGGCTGGTCAACCCGTGGTGCCCTTGTAAAACTAAACGTTTAACCTACTCACGCCGGCTTGTGCCCGCCCTCACAGTCGGCCATATTTGCGGAATACACCACGCTGCCGTTGACCCTGGCCATTGACCGAGCAACCCAACGTTCCTACCAGCTCCCTCCGCAGAAATGTGTTTTCAGACATACAGATGATATTTTATGATAATATCAGTAAGTATTTTGTACTGTACTCACTAGTGCATTCTTCTGGACTCCTAACAAGGCAGCAGTGGGAGATGAGATTGGAGCTGCTGCTGCTGCTGTGCTGCCAATGTGGCTCTGTGTGATGCCCTCAGTCAGAATGTCTGTGGTGGGGCCGGAGACTCTATCCTGGTCTTGTGAGTTCTCACCTGGCTAAACGTTCTGTAACAAAATAAGTAATATTTAAAAAGATTTTTTTTTAAACACGCTTTAATGAAATGTACCGTACGAGTAATGGCAGAACTCCACGACTCCAAGAAGTGGCCCCGAGGCTTGCCATAGCGCAAGGGGGCCGTGGTGATTTACAGCCAACGTGAGTTGAGCGTGGGCAATTAGAGCCAAGCCGAAACATAACATAAAAAAAGATGGCTTAAAATTTATATTTTTAATGATAGAACTAGCTGTACTACCCGGCTTCGCCCGGGACTTGTATCCACCACGCCCGGCCGCCTTTGTCTCCCCAGTGGCGATGTTAATACGCCACACCAGTTACTCGTTTTGCGGCTGAGTCCCTCCCTCACCACTCTCCCTCCCTCACCACTGTCCCTCCCTTACCACTGTCCCTCCCTCACCACTCTCCCTCCCTCACCACTCTCCCTCCCTCACCACTCACGCACGGCCGCCTTTGTCTCCCCAGTGGCGATGTTAATACGCCACACCAGTTACTCGTTTGAGGCTGAGTCGACCTAGGGGAGGTTCAAATAATCGTCACCGGTGGTGGCCTGAGCGGGAATGGAACTCGGTTCGCCGGGTTTGTAGCGCAGCGTAGCGTTAACCACTACACCCACCGCTCCTCACACACCACACACGCACAGACACACACACAGACACACACACAGACACACGCAGACACACACAGACAGACACACACACACACAGACACACAGACAGCACGCTAACCACTACACTACCGCTCCCCAAACACCACACACGCACACACACAGACACACACACAGACACACACACACACAGACACAGACAGCACGCTAAGCACTACACTACCGTTCCCCCTACACAACACACGCGCGCGCGTCCATAGGTACACATACACGCGCTTGCTGCAGACACACACGACTTTCAGGGTGCGTACGGCAGTAAACGACTGAAAAAAGAAAGCGGCAATGCTGCGCGAGGAACGCCTTAGACCTGCAACACATTTGTGTAATGCGAGCGTAAACACAGAAACACATACAAAGACATACACACACATCTATACACACACATACACACAAACACACACATACATACACACAAAAACATAGACAATGCACACACACATACATGCAGACACACAGACAGACACATAACACACATACATACACACAGATACATACACAGAAACACATACACACAATACATAGACACACACATACATACACACAAACACATCCACAGACGTACATACATACAGACACGCAGACATACACATAAACACATACAAAAAAACCCACATCCATACACACACACATACAAACACAACAACAACAACAACAACCGCCATTCGCCACTAAGTGGCGGTGACGTCACCACGATGCTTGTGCCAGGCCAAGTGCACCTTGAGGCCACGTGAAGTGTCGAAAGCCCGCTGGCAGGAGGTCACGGGGCAGACCCAGGTGCCACTGGTCGACTGACCGAGATGACCGAGATGACTGGCTGATGCACCACCTGTGCCCCCTACTGTGCCAACTTGCTGTGCTTTAGCCACCCGGCGCTCCGCTCGTTGTTGTGAGCGTCGCTCCTCCGCCCTCCGTTGTTGTTGGAGGGCGACTGCCTCCAACTGCCCAGTAGCGTCCTTCACGAGCCTCCTCCACTGAGGCCGATCTTGACACCGCTGGTACCAGTCATCGGCAAGTCCACTCAGCTCCACGTCCTCCTGTACCACATCACTCCATCTCTTCTCCAGCCCGTGCCGCGCCCGTCTAGCCCCCTCGATCCGGCCGAACAAAAGCTGTTTAGGCATGCGGTGGCTGGGCATGCGGGCTACATGACCCAGCCAACGCAGCCTTGCCTGCCGGAGGAGCTCACTGATGGGACTTTGCCCAGATCTTTCAAGGATTTGTGAGCTCCTCACACAATCCAGCCTGGTTAAACCCAGGATGGATCGTAGGCAGGCCAGCCTAAATGTTTCCAACCGGCGAAGATGCTCCACCAGGGGGGTCCACGTCTCGCAAGCGTAGAGAAGGGAGGGAATGACCGTGGCCGAGAAGACCTGAAGCTTCGTGCGGAGCGACAGACCAGGTAGCTTCCACACAGCGTTACGCAACCGATGAAAAGATATTGCCGCTCGACTGATTCGGAGTGAGACCTCTGCTGATAGACTGGAGCCGGTCATAAGCACACTGCCCAGGTATGGGAAACTCTCCACTCTCTCCACAACTGCCCCATCACCAATTGGGAGTTGTGGGGGTGGAGTGTCCGATGGTACAAAATACCCAGGCAGGTGCTTGGTTTTGGTGGGGCTGATGGTAAGGCCCCACCTCTTAGTGGCACGCTCCAGTCTCAGCAGCAGCGCCTCCAACTCCTCTTCTGAATGAGCAGCTATTACCAAATCATCGGCATACATAACGTGGTTGACCAATAGGGAGCCATCCCTTGATCGCACCCGGGCGTCGATCAGCCTCCCATTATATCTGTACCAAACGGAAATTCCCCCGGTACAGCTATTGAAGGCTTCACGAACTACGCGGTCAAAATAGATGTTAAATAATGTGGGAGCCAGAGGACATCCCTGTCGCACCCCAAGGTGTACAGGGAAAGGCTCCGACTCCCGGCCACGTAGTTTTACCCGGGCCCGCTCACCATCATGAAGGTCCTTAATGATCGTGAGCAGAGGGTCAGGGACTCCGAAAGCACGAAGAACAACCCAGAGTCCAGTCCTACTGATGGTATCATAGGCCTTGACCAGGTCAATAAAGCAGAGATGTAGGTCTTTTTGGAATTCCCTACACCTCTGCTGTAGCAGACGGACAGAAAATATGGCATCTGTGCAGGACCGCCCTTTCCTGAAACCGCATTGGGGCTCCGCAAGCCCCTCCTCAGCGTGCCTAGCAAGGCGATGTTGAATAATCCTTGCCAGGACCTTACCCGGCACACTGAGGAGTGAGATGCCCCTGTAGTTGTTACAGTCTGTGCGGTCCCCCTTCTTAAAGAGGGGGACCACCAGGGCATCCTTCCAGTCCTGCGGAACCCGTCCAGTGGTCCAGACTGTTGTTATGATGTCATATAGGGCAGTCTGTGCACAAACGCCACCCTCCCTCAGCATTTCGCTTGGGAGATCATCTCTGCCCGGTGCCTTCCCTGGTCTCAGACTCCGGATCGCCCTCAGTACTTCCTCAACAGCTGGAACCTCAGCCAGCCACTCACAGGGGGTGACCTCTTCCAATATTTGAGGCACCGCAGCCTCAGCAGGGTTATCCCCACTTTGTGCCATGATGTTTTCCTGGCTGAGAGAATTTCCCTCCCCCAGGACCTCACAGAAATGCTCAGCAAATCTGCAAACCTGTTCCTGGGGGTCGGAGATTGGATCACCGTTTTTTCCTCTAATGATGGTAATAGGTGTGGCGCTGCAGGTTACTTTTTTGATGGAGTTAAATAGTGATTTGTGATCACGGGCCACTGAGGCAGACTCCATCTCCTCAGCAACCCGCGACCACCACCCATCCTTACAACGCCTTACGGCTCTCCGAACTTCCGAGCGAAGGCTGCGGTAAACCTCCTCATTCTCTGACGTGGGATGCTGTAGGCGATGAGAGTGGGCCTGTCGCTTTTTCTCAATTAACCTGAACACCTCCTCTGTCAGCCAGGGTTTCTGGGGAGGTCTGGACCGCGTACCCAAAGCAGCCATTGCAGCTGCATGAGTCACAGTCTTAAACCTCGCCCATTTCCCCTCGACATCAGGTGGAGTGGGGGACGATGCCAACCCCAGCTGCAAGCGATGATGAAATTCTCGCTTGCAACTTTCATCAGCTAACTGAGACCAGGCCACTTTTGGTTGGAATGGGATCCTGGGTGTACACCCACCACCGGAGTGGAAGAAAGGCAGGCGCATCTTACAGATGACTAGTCGATGGTCAGAGGACAGATCAGCTCCACGGTAGGTCCTGGTGTCAAGGACATGGGTTCGCATCCGCTGGTCCGTCACTATGTAGTCCAGCAGATGTTCTTGCTTGGACCCGGCATGTATCCATGATGTTGTGTGGATGCGCCGATGCCGGAAGAGCGTGTTGGTAATTACAAGCCCATGGGCTGCACAAAAATCTAGCAGCCTCCTACCGTTATTATTGAGCTGATCTGGCCCATGCCTTCCAATCACTCCAGACCAGGTGTCAGCATCATGACCAACTCGGGCATTGAAGTCACCCAACAAGATGACTCTGTCCCGAGTGGCCACTTTAGCCAGCACCTGTGACAGGAGGTCATAGAAAGCGTCTGACTCATCGGCTTTGCTTGCATCCCTCCACGGATGTTCGTCTTCGGTGGGGGCATAAGTAACCACGACCACCACTCCTCGCCTCTGGTTGATGGGAAGGCGAGCCCAAAGTAGCCTGGGGCTTACAGCTTCCCACACCTCACCGCCACGCTCCCACGCCCCCTTCATTCTTTTGTTCAGAAGAAGAGCCACACCCTGTTGTTTGGCAGTCTCCTGCCCCGAGTAGAGGACTGTCCACCCCTCATGGTGGCAGGAGCCAGAACCGGTCCACCGGACCTCCTGAATGCCACAGAGATCCAGGCGGTACCGGTCCAGCTCCCGACAGAGGAGTGGCAGCCTCTCCTCCGCAGTGAGCGTTCGAACATTCCACGTGGCCATCCGCAATGGTTTTTTGTTGTTTCTGGAGGAGCCCCGAGGGTGAAAATTCAATCTCCTGGCTCCGCCAAATGGGGTTTGGCCAGGAGACGTCATAAAAGCCTGACCCCCCGGGGCCTCCGGCACAAGCTTATTTGATACAGGTTTATGTTTAATTCGTGGTTTAGTGGTAATGAATTGAAGGTGGAGGGGTTACCAGCCCCTCACACCCGTCCAGAGCCCCCGTTTAGCCACTGTGGTGGTCACAGACGCCATGAGGGGAGAGGCCAATGGGCATTGGCCCTCCCCCCACAGCAATGTCCACGACAGTGTTGCCCGTCCGGCACCGCATACACACGCATACATACACACAGACATACACACAAACACACACATACATACACAGAAACACATACACACACGTACATAGACACATACATTCAGACACACAGACATACACATAAACACGTACAAAAAAACCCACATACATACACACACATACATATACACAAACACATACACACACATACATACACACATACATACAGACGCACAGACATACACATAAACACATACACACATAGACATGACCCGGCTTTGCCCGGGACTTGGATCCAGCACGGCCGGCCGCCTTTGTCTCCCCAGTGGCGATGTTAATACGCCACACCAGTTACTCGTTTTGAGGCTGAGTTCCTCCCTCGCCACTCTCCCTCCCTCGCCACTCTGCCTCCCTCACCACTCTGTAGAGGACGTGAAATTTGTATGAATTTACCTCAGAGTGGCGTGGTGGGTGTCGAGGCCTAGCACCGTGCAGAGCCTCCCGCCTCGCCTGATTTTCCCACCCGGCGAACGCTGGGTACGGGTGGCGTTCCTTCCCCCCGCCCCTAGCGCTCGAACAATACTGTGAAATGGCTATTATTTAATTATTTACGAAGCCTATGAAAGTGGCGAAGGCGTGGCTAGCCGTTGGCAGGGGCAACCGCCGTCCAATGAAAGTGCAGCCCTTGGCGAAGGCGTCGCTAGCCGTTGCCAGGTCCAATGAAAGCGGCGAAGGCGTCGCTAGCCGTTGCCAGGGGCAACCGCCGTCCAATGAAAGTGCGTATGGTCCGAAATCCACACACACACACACACAGACAGACAGACATTCACGATTTTATATATATAGATATAGTATTGTCATCAGAATGACATAAGTATACCAAGTTTGCAGTCGATACCACATTGGGAAGTGGGTTAAAATTGAGTTACAAAATTTTAGGATAGGAAAACGACAACAACAACAGACAGAGAATGAGTTAAATAAAAGCGTGTAATAAAAAAAACACGAAAATAATAATAGATTTTTTTTTTAATGTAATCGTGACTAAGAATCGTCATAATCGAATCGTGAGGGGTGTGATCTGGTTGGCTCAGAGCGGTCTCATTGGCTGAGCGAATGATGGGGGCGGGTACGTTTCCTCGTGTTCTCGCTCGTAAGCACTTTGCAAGATTTTTTGCGCTATAACGAATCAGCGTTCTACGGGGCCGCTCTAAGCGAGGTCTGCCTGTACCACTACTATTTCTAACACCTTCTTTCGGTAAAGTCACGTAGAAATAATAAAATAATAAAAATAAAACTATACAATTCTCGCGACGTTTCTATTGCAACACAAGCAATCATAATCAGGTGTGAAACTCACAGCAATAATTTTTTTGAAAAAAGTGGCGTTTTTTTCTTAAAATGTTCTTGCTGTGGTTTTCACACCTATGTATGGTTTTTGTCGAGCACCTTTTCGTTACGTCTCAAAGGTCATCCACCATATCGTTTAGAATCAACATGGGTTGAGAGTGTTTGCCCGCTATATATTTCCACACGATAATCCACTTCGTTGGGCCATCATTTGTGACCAGGTCGCTTCTGAAAAAGAGCTATTCAGCTCAGTGGGCCTTACCTGGTTAAAAAATATAATTTAATAGTTTAGTTAACCATGATAAATTCACCGCTGGTGTTAAGCCCCCCCCCCATCCCCCCGCAAGCCACCGAGCACTTTCACGTCAAATTATTGAATCGCTCCGTCTTCCACAGGAGACGTGCTTTGGGGCACCTTTTCCTCCTTTGGCTACCAATATGCGTGACCAGTCTCGTCAATGTGTGGTGCAATCTATTACGGTGTTGCTCACCGTGGTATGGTGCGTGGGATGCAGGTGTGGCAGATCCCTGACGCGGGGCTGTACCGCCCCATGACGGAGCCGGTCGTGTGCCTGGAGGGGCACTCACGGCGCGTGGGCATCGTGGCCTGGCATCCGACGGCTCGCAACATCCTCATGAGCGCAGGTGCTTCGTCAACACCGCCATCGTCAACACCGCCATCGTCAACACCACCATCGGCAACACCGCCATCGTCAACACCGCCATCGTCAACACCGCCATCGTCAACACCGCCATCGTCAACACCGCCATCGTCAACACCGCCATCGTCAACACCGCCATCGGCAACACCGCCATCGTCAACACCGCCATCGTCAACACCGCCATCGTCAACACCGCCATCGTCAACACCGCCATCGTCAACACCGCCATCGTCAACACCGCCATCGTCAACACCGCCATCGTCAACACCGCCATCGTCAACACCGCCATCGTCAACACCGCCATCGGCAACACCGCCATCGTCAACACCGCCATCGTCAACACCGCCATCGTCAACACCGCCATCGTCAACACCGCCATCGGCATCAATGTCATGAGCAGCAACTACCATCAGCAGCACTGGCATCATGAAGACCGCCATCAACATCACTGACATCAGCATCACTGCCACCATCAACACCGCCATCAACATCACTGCCATCAGCATCACTGCCACCATCAACACCGCCATCAACATCACGGCCATCAGCATCACTGCCACCATCAACACCGCCATCAACATCACTGCCATCAGCATCACTGCCATCATCAACACCGCCATCAACATCACTGCCATCAGCTTCACTCTCATCATCAACACCGCCATCGGCATCAATATCATGAGCAGCAACTGTCATCATCAACACTGTCATCAGCATCACTGGCATCATCAACACCGCCATCAACATCACTGACATCAGCATCACTGGCATCATCAACACCGCCATCAACATCACTGCCATCAGCATCACTGGCATCATCAACACCGCCATCGGTATCAATATCATGAGCAGCAACTGTCATCATCAACACTGCCATCAACATCACTGGCATCATCAGCCATGAACTATCCACTGCTGGGTGAAGGCCCCCCCCCCCAGTTGTCGTCGATTTTCATGGCGTCACAATGCAGCAAGCTCATCCACACGAGGTGATGTCTTCGCTCCATTTCCATGGGGGGACGTATTTTTGCCCGAGTTCCCCCATTTAACCGTCTTTCTGCTGTTAGTCTGCCGTCACCGCCACTTTGCGGTCGAATAGCGGCTGCGGCTGCTGCTGTTGTTATTGTGTTGTTGTTGTTGCCGCCGTGTGGGTGCGTAAACGGGGTCGCGGCCCCTCGCCGACCCTCCCCCGCCGCAGGCTGCGACAACGTCATCATCGTGTGGAACGTGGGCACAGGCGACGCCGTGCTCAGCCTGCCGGACCTGCACGGGGACCTCATCTACAGCGCGGCGTGGAACCGCGTGGGCTCGCTCGTGGTGACCGCGAGCCGAGACAAGCGCGTGCGCGTCATCGACCCCCGCAAGGGGTGCACCATCGCCGTACGTGACATGTGACCCCCCCCACCCCGCTGGTGGTGGAGGGGGCATTGTTGGGTCATGTGATTGATGGTGTGGTTCTGGCGACGAACGGTTACTCGCTTGCTGCACGGCCATCGTTTGGCCACCTCACCGTTCTCAGTATGATTTGGTGGGGGGGGTTGGGGGGGTTCACAGATCTCTCGAGCGATCCTCCAGCCCCTGTCTCCTAAGCACTGGATCTCAGGCCCATTCCACCGTGCCTATGTTAGTTTGAGCAGGAAACTGCGATGCACTTTCGAAACGCTGCTCGGATAGGGTCGAGCAACTTGGACGTTTGAAATAGAATGTGGGAAAAAACTAAAGGATTGTGGACGTGAATCAGGAAGAGGAGGTCGTGATGGGTGGAAGGAGGAGAGGTTACAGGAACAGGCGCAGGAAGGGCACCCAGAGGTCGACAGCCAAGGTGGTCAGACTCTCACAGCAGACCCTGTGGGTGTCAGGCGTCAACTTCGCAGCAGCTGTGGGAATCTAGCAGGGGGGACGAGAGTGATGGCAACAAGTGGGTGCATCATTGGCACCGGCCGTGGTGACTTATTGACCTATGCCGTTGATGTTGTGTCAGGATATATTAAGCCGGCAATGTTGAGATCCTGGGTTTTGAGCTCGAGGCCTGGGCGTCTCTAAGGATACTGATACTTGTCCACTGAGCATTGAGCCGGCAATGTTGAAAAATGCTGGCTCTGAGCCAAGGGTCTGGGTGTCTATCGTTATTTGCTCTTAAGTTTTTTTTCAGAGCGTTTAGAGTCATCATCGTCACGGCCCATGGGCAGATGGACCATGGGTGTCCACTGCACACGTCGTCATTTGTTTCCACTTTGCTTTGTCTTGTGCCATGGACAGATAGCGTTTAGAGAACGTGGCTGCAAAATACTTCCGCATGATACGGCACTTGTGGCGAGATCACTTCTGCGCATGTTCTCCCCGTGGTCTCGTGGATTTTTCTCCGGGTCCTCCGGTTTTTTCCTCCATGCGTTGAGAGTATTTGGCTGCTATACAGTTCCACATGATAAGCAAATTCTCTGAGCTATCATTTATGGCCTGGTCGCTTCTAAAAGAAAGAGCTATATAGCTCAGTGGGCCTTACGTTGAGCCCTAGTAGTGCCGTGTATCTTTCAGGAGGTTAATGATAATTCCTTTGTAAAGTCAATGATTCGTAGGTCTTGGGTTCGAGCCCTGCAGGTGTAGGGCATCTCTCTCCTGCCCTTTAATCATGTGGATTATGTCTATCTCATTGTGCTGAGCAAGCAATGTGGAGCCCCTGAATTCGAGCCCTGTTGCTGAGTGCCTTGATGTCGGTTGATGCTCGTTTAAGGACAATTAGCCAGTGGTGCCGATTGTCTAGGTTTTAGTCCTAGGGCTTCATTGCCTCTTTTCTCCACAGTGCTGAAGTCTCTGTGTCAGCGCATTGAGCCACTAGCGATTGCGCCATCTTGGGTTGGAGGCTGCGTCTCTCATCTCACAAGGCGTGTAAATTGGCATTACGCGTTCTGTGGAGAAGCAGATACAATACAGTTGGGATGCAATCGTGGATTCATGTCGCCTCTGTATGCAAGCACTTCTCAAGATGCTTACAGGAAGAGTGTAAATTGTCCCCGTGTACAGAAAGAGGCAGTCAGTCATAGACAGAATTAACAAGGAAAGCCTTGAGCCTGGACTTGAACAGGGTCAGGAAGCAGAGGTCGCAACCGGGTACCCGATACCCGTACCCTACCCGATACCCGGCTACCCATACCCGGCCGGGTACGGGTACCCGTTTGCGACCCTGGTGCGGCCGGGTACGGGTAGGCCGTGAGTCACTGGTGAGTAACCGTTTGTCACTCATTTCCCAACGTCTTGTCTCTTCTCACAATTCAAGTTCCTAGAATCAACTCACCCGCGCCTGCAACATGACTTCATCCCAGAGGACGCAATCGGGTACCCGTACCGGTACCCTACCCGATACCCAGCCGGGTATTGGGTAGGGTACGGGTACCCGTTTTCGACCCTGGTGCGGCCGGGTACGGGTAAGGAATCAAAACCCATTTGCGACCTCTGTCAGGAAGTCCTCAGCACGGCTGCTGGGGGAAGGGTCTTCCAGACAATGGCGGCAGCAGGAGAGAATGAGTGACCGCCCACTGAGTGACTGGGGTGCCTCGACAGAAAAACAGTATGAGATACTCCACAATGCTTATTAATCGCTAACGTGTGCCCACTTAATCTGCCTCCAGTGACTGCCCATGGAGCTTTGCCTTGGGGCCCAGGTTGTAAGAATGTGTGCCCGGTTCACGAGCTGGCATTCTATACTCTTTGGTTCTTTCGGTAAAGTCGTGTAGGTATAAAATAAAGTAAATCACGACGTTTCGGGCGCAACACAAGCGTCCGTCATCAGGTGGGAAAGCATGGTCTGCTGCTGAGGCAGACTGTTTTAAAAGGTTGAAATGGGTGTAGCTCAAGGGTCATAAAGAAGTGGCCGGGGCTAGTTATGTCAATGTGAGAAATTAGAGGGCACAGAAGTGGCTGTGTTAATGTGAGGGATTAGCATGATGTTAATGTGAGAAATTAGAGGGCACGGAAGTGGCTATGTTAATGTGAGGGATTAGCATGATGTTAAAGTGAGAAATAAGCATGTAACTGTAGAAAAGCTACACCCATTTCAAAACTTTTAAAATAGTCTGCCTCAGCAGCAGACCAAGCTTTCCCACCTGATGATGGACGCTTGTGTTGCGCCCGAAACGTCGTGATTTATTTTATTTTACACCTACGTGACTTTACCGAAAGAACCAAAGAGTATGGATGCCCTGCAGTCGCGAAAGCTTCAAATCAAGGCTGGCGTTCTACGTTTCGTGTAACCTGCGCCGCTGAAGCGAGCGCATATTTACCCACCGCTTGCCATGTTACTGTGCGTGCGTAACGGTGTCTGACGCTGCACAGCTGTACGTTCCCATCAAGTTGCAGGCCGCGATGCACATTACAATGCGGCCAACCGGTGTCTAAACCTGCAGAGCGTTGACGTCCACCTCCACCACCCCTCGGTTGACTCAGCCTAAACATTTGTTTGGTGAGAGAGCTCAAGAGAGGGCCCCCCCCTCTAGGGGGTGTATTGTCCCCAACTCTTCCACGCTGGACAGATGTCTTGGGAGAGGTGGGGGGCTACCCACACTTCACCCCCACCACACGTGGCGTGCCAATCGATCAACTGTGATGAACGAATTTACACTGATGGGTAGACAGAGATGGTGGGGGCTGGGATGTGGGTTTAATAAACTAGCCCCATTGTTTCTAATTGCGGCGCCGGGAAATAGAACCCAATTGGCGACCTCCACGTTGTAAATCCAGCACCCAAAATGTTGAACTTTGTTCGCACCGTATGATACCCGTCCATATGTGTACTATGTATATATAATGTGGACTCGCTAATAGGGGTTTTACCCCTTTTTTCTGGCAACAAAATTGACTCCTTTTGCAAGGAATCATGTTTACATTAACCACAATACTTGCAGTGAAAATGCAAACAAAAAAACAATACTCTGATTATTTATTCATGCATCGTCCTTGTAACTCATTGGTCCACACCAGAGACAGCTTTTCTTAGAGCCTAGTCTGTGGATTCGTTCCATTTGAAATGCAACCGTATCTCGTCAAATTGTACACAATAGAGGGGACGTGCAGTCCAGCCCTTCACAGCGGGATTTGTCTGAGCGGGCAACACTCTGTACCAGTTTCAACCTTCTGAGTTTCATCAGCAGAGTCAGACCTCACAAGCCTTGGTTGCCCGCAGAACGTGCTTTGTACTGGCAGGGTCTCCAGAGGTAAATAGGGCGGCTCCTGCCAATAACATCCGGCCAACAAAACATCAAAGCACTCCTCCCACGGGATCTTGCCTCTGCTTGAGGATGAACTAATTGCCGTCGAAATGTAAATGGGCAAGGAATTTTTAATCGCGTGGATATACAGCCTTTTGAAAATCCACTGCCGGATGACGGCGGGTCGTGGGTTGGTGGTAAAGATGGGGAGCATTGGTGTGGGAACACAGAAGTGCAGTGCCGTACACCGATGCATTTTCTGCACTGCCTTCTCTTGCTCATAACGTGGCCTATAACACCTGTTATTCATGGTGTTTGTCCGTTGCGTCTCTATTCAGGCTAAACCCTGCTTAGCTTCTGAGACCTGGCCATAGGGTTTCGGGTTGCTTAATCGTTTAAAAGGGGGGGAAAAATAACAAAACATTTCCTCGCTTGAGCTCTGGTCTTTCTACCAGATGCATATTTCCCAGCGGTAATAGTTTGTTAAATGGAGACGATGTCCTTAACGCGAACGGGTGAATTGTTTCGATTTAAAGCTTTCGTGACTGCAGGGATTCATCTTCTTGGTTCTTTCGGTAAAGTCACGTAGAAGGGAAGTAATAAAATAATAAAACATAATAAAACAATTCTCACGACGTTTCGGCCACAATGCAAGCAGCCGTCCTCAGGTGAAAACTAGGTCTGTCGAGGCGACAGCGTCGCCTGAGGACGGCTGCTTGCGTTGTGGCCGAAACGTCGTGAGAATTGTTTTATTATGTTTTTTACTTTTTATTATTTTATTACTTCCCTTCTACGTGACTTTACCGAAAGAACCAAGAAGAAGGGTGAATTGTTGCATTTGAATGTGCATCCTGAGAGCCTCGTTGATGAGAAAACTGAGATTGTTTTCTTATTGATAATTTTAATCCAGACTGTCTCCCAGCACGTGTGACCAATGCATGTGCGTGTGTGCACGTGTGTTTGTTTGTGTCTGCCTCTCGCACTAACAGCTAACGCGCCGTCTTGCAGCAGCAGCCCGGTACGCACGTTTTCGACTCAATCGGTTCACAATTCAACATAACACATCGCGTCCGTCTCTCCCCTTGCATGCGTGTGACCCCGTGTATACAAAGTATGTGCGGAGCGGTTAGCACCCTGCACTATCCAACCTGGTGACCCGAGTTCAATTCCTGCTCCTGCTGGCCAACACCAGTGACGATTATCTGGACTGGTCCTGGGCCTCCCTTAGGTCTACTCAGCCTCAATAAATAATCTGGTGCGGTGTGTAAACATCACCGCTGGGGAGACAAAGGCGCTCGGGCGTATTGCTGGCCACCCACTCCCTCGTGTGCCGTGCTGACCTTCATAGATGCTCGCTAACAGCACTTGCCCCTACAGTCTGTTAAGGCTACACGCGGGATCTTTGTCTTGTTGTGGAGAGTTGTAGTGTAGCGGTTAGCGCACTCTTGACAAACCATAGCGACCCGAGTTCGATTTGCGCTCAGCTCAACATTATTTGTGAGTATTAGAACCGATCTTATGTCTCCCATAGGTCGACTCAGCCATAAATGCGTATCTGGTGCATTGTCTAAACATCAGTACTGGGGGGAACAACGGACGGTTGGATGTTTTTTTTGGCCACCGACCCCCTCTCGTGTGCCATGCCGGCCTTAATAGGTGCTCGCTAACAGCACTTGACGTGTGTGTGACACGCCCATGTGTACGTGATTGACACCAGTGTGCATGTGCGTGTGTTGAGAAGATGACCCTGTATGTGTATGATTTTGTGCGTGTGTGTGTATGTGGCATTGAATCACGGTGCTTTTTTCTGGAGGTCTTTGCTGGACATTCCTGGATTTTTCTGTTTGCGAGTAGTCACTTTAAGATGTTTTCTTGTTTGTGTGTTTTTTGTTTGTTGCGGTTGCACCAGACTCAAGAGCCGAATGGCTCACAGGGCTATTCAAAATTAATGAAACTGACACATAGGTAATATGACCCTGTATGTGTATGATTTTGTGTGTGTATGTGACACATATGGCCCTGTGTATGCGTTTTCGTGACACACACGTGGGAGGTGCATGCGTGACACCCTTGCATGGGTGTGTGCGTGTTGGCAGATTACTTTGTGTCTGTATATCCCTGCCCACGACCCACCCCGGGTTTCGCCCGGCTGGATTTTGTGAGGAGCTCACAGATCCTTGAAAGATCTGGACAGCGTCCCATCGGTGAGCTCCACCGGCAGGCGAGGCCGCATTGGCTGGGCCATGTAGCCTCCATGCCTATTCAACTCGTGCCAGACTAAGGAGGGCAATATGGGCACATTCTAGATTTGAAGTTTTCGTGACTGCAGCGATCCATACTCTTTGGTTCTTTCGGTAAAGTCACGTAGGTAGAAAAATATAAAATTAATTGAATAAAACATTTTCTTGCTGTAGTTCTCACGGCTAATGATGATTGCTTGTGTTGCAATGGAAAAGTCGTGATTCAATTTATTTTATATTTTATCCCTACGTGTAATATGAGCATAGCACAGGCTGAAAACGAGTGAAATAGGCTGACGTGGCACAGGAGGATATGTAGCTGAGTGGACTTGCTAATGACTGGTAATCAATGGGGCATCTATGGAGGAGGCTGGTGAGGGACGCTACTGGGCAGTTAGAGGGCGCAATAACGGAGGACAGAGGAGCGACGCTCACAACAATGAGCCGAGCGCTGGGCAGCTAAAACACAGCCCAGCTGGTGCATCTGCCAGTCGTCACATCCAACCCGTGGAACCTTGGTTCTGTCCCATGGCCTCCTGTCAGCCGAACCTTTGGCGATTTACGTAGCCTCAACGTGCACCCAGCCTGGCACGAACGCTGCGGTGACATCAACGCCACCGAGTGGTGAACGGCGACTGTTGTTGTTTTGTTGCTGTATCCAAATGTGCGCGGGGAGGAGAGAATAACTCCCGTGTGTACGACCGTGTGTGTGTGTGTGCATTGCTTGTGTGTGTGTGTACGACCCCGTGTGGATGACCCCAGCGCGACCCATGTGACCGTGCGTGTGTGTATGACTGTAGGAGCTTGTGTTGGGGTGTAGCAGTTACCACGCTGCGCTACGAACCCGGCGACCCGAGTTGGAATTCCCGCTCACGGCCAACAACCAGTGACGATTATCTGAACCGGTCCTGGGCTCCCTTAGGTCGGCTCAGCCTCAAATGAGTACCTGGCGTGGTGTATAAGCATCAGCGTTTTTGAGGAGATAAAGATGACCTGGCATGTTACTCCCCCCCCCCCCCCCCCATCGTTTGTCATTGCCGGCCTTCGTAAGTGTCTCGCGGAACAGCACTTGCCCCGACAGTATGTTGAAGGCTATACAGGGCATCTTTGCCTTTGTGTGCGCGTGCAGGAGAGGATGACCCCACACGAGGGCATCCGCCCGATGCGTGCGCTCTTCACGAGGGACGACCTCGTCTTCACCACCGGCTTCACGCGCATGAGCGAGCGCCAGTTCGGCCTCTGGGACCCGGTGAGACTTCCAACAACAACAACAACACGCGCGCGCGCAACATAGAATGTACACGCAATGCGTGCAAAGACAAGCAGTCCCCCCCCCCCCCCCGTAACGCCCTTCACCAACTCTTTGTTTGGTTCTTTCGGTAAAGTCATGTGGGTATAAAAGAAAATAGATCACGACGTTTCGGGTGCAACAGAAGCTGTCCGTCATCAGGTGGGAAAGCATGGTCTGTCGTTGATGCAGATTGTTTTAAAAGGGTTGAAATGGGTGTAGCTCAAGGGTCATAATTGTGGCACATTAGGAATGGATCACTCTTTTAAGTGTGTCCTTGTGCAGCAAGGGAGTAAAGTGTGGTTCTGTGAAAGTCCTGATGTGCTGTGCAGTGCGTCAATGCATGTGTGTACAGCAGCATGTGATGACTGAGTCGGACGCTGTAGGTGGCTGGCAGGGTTAATGAATAACCGCACGTGTAAACCAGCCACGTGGTTAATGGCGTCTCGGAAGCATTGCTGCGTGTAACACGCGCTGTTGCATTTTACAGGTAAAGGACCCAAAGGTTGTTTTTGATCGTTATATAAATGTTCTACACTTGTTCTAGACTTGTTTTAGACTTTAAGCTTGGCTTTGAATTGTTCGTTTGTGATATATGCAATTAGAGGCGTTTTAGCACTGTGCATTGTAAAGGGATGACGCACTGTAATTAGTTACTGTCATTGTAATTCTCTAACTCTAATACTGTTTAGTCTATAACCATGCCCATGTACCCAGAGTATGACTACTTGCAATGCTATTGAGCATAGAACACATGTAAAGTAGTAAGCTGTACAATGGTGATATACAGTACGTATACTGTACACATACAGTACATATAATGGGTGTAAGATACCGATAGAAGTGGATGGTATAGACATACAGCTTAGGATTAAAGTAATATTCGAATAGTGATGTGCAAATGTGATTGTCAAAGACAAAGATGGTTTATCAGCAGTAGAATTGGGTTTAAGAGAAAGGGTTAATGAATAACCGCACGTGTAAACCAGCCACATGGTTAATGGCGTCTCAGAAGATTTTCTGCTGTGTAACACGCGCTGTTGCATTTTACAGAGTGACGGTGCTGTTCTTCCCAAGATTCATATGAACCACAATAAATAAATGTGCTTGCCCTCGATTTGGAGCACCTGCCCACGTTCCTTCATCTCGAGTGTGCAACATAATGAAGTGGCCGGGGCTAGTGATGTTAGTGTGAGACATTAACATGCAACTGTAAGATAGTAGAGTGGCCTCCTAAACAAGGGCACGGAAGTGGCTATGTTAATGTGAGAGATTAGCATGATGTTAATGCGAGAAATTAGAGGGCACGGAAGTGGCTATGTTAATGTGAGAGATTAGCATGATGTTAATGCGAGAAATTAGAGGGCACGGAAGTGGCTATGTTAATGTGAGAGATTAGCATGATGTTAATGTGATCAATTAGAGGGCACGGAAGTGGCTATGTTAATGTGAGGGATTAGCATGATGTTAATGTGAGTAATTAGAGGGCACGGAAGTGGCTATGTTAATGTGAGAGATTAGCATGATGTTAATGTGAGAAATTAGAGGGCACGGAAGTGGCTATGTTAATGTGAGGGATTAGCATGATATTAATGCGAGGAATTAGAGGGCATGGAAGTGGCTATGTTAATGTGAGAGATTAGCATGATGTTAATGTGAGGAATTAGAGGGCACGGAAGTGGCTATGTTAATGTGAGGGATTAGCATGATGTTAATGTGAGTAATTAGAGGGCACGGAAGTGGCTATGTTAATGTGAGATTAGCAGATGTTCATGTGAGAAATTAGAGGGCACGGAAGTGGCTATGTTAATGTGAGGGATTAGCATGATATTAATGCGAGGAATTAGAGGGCATGGAAGTGGCTATGTTAATGTGAGAGATTAGCATGATGTTAATGTGAGGAATTAGAGGGCACGGAAGTGGCTATGTTAATGTGAGGGATTAGCATGATGTTAATGTGAGTAATTAGAGGGCACGGAAGTGGCTATGTTAATGTGAGAGATTAGCATAATGTTCATGTGAGAAATTAGAGGGCACGGAAGTGGCTATGTTAATGTGAGGGATTAGCATGATGTTAATGCGAGAAATTAGAGGGCACGGAAGTGGCTATGTTAATGTGAGAGATTAGCATGATGTTAATGTGAGAAATTAGAGGGCACGGAAGTGGCTATGTTAATGTGAGAGATTAGCATGATGTTCATGTGGCTCGCCTCCCTGTGACGTCGATACGCACGACGGCATGTCGCGGCGCCACGCGTCATATGCGATGTGACGTCGTAGTTGGGCGCTAGTCGGGCGGTAGTGGCGTTGTGGAGATGAGGGTTTGGTGAATCTCCCTTCCCGTGGGCATTTTAGATGTCATACCCTGTGACGCGCCAGGTGAAGGCAATATAGCAAGCGGACTAAACTCCGTCCATTTCAATCTGTATGGGGATCGAGTATTGCTCCCCCGTCATGCGCGTTGGGTTTTCACCGTGTGCTCTGCTTTCCTCCCACGTGGCTGCAAACAGCGGACCTCTCCTGTAAAATAGTCCTCGGACTCGGTGTGACTATGCTTGGATCAATAAGTAATGCGTTTTTTTTATTATCATCCCGCTGTGCACCTCGTGACGGCGACGCTATGATCGCGAAGTGAATACTCACATCGGCAAGCGTCACGAAACCGACGCACGTGCCTGATTTTTCTTCCTTGTTTCAGAAAAAATTCGAAGAGCCTATCACGCTGCAGGAGCTCGACTCGAGCAATGGAGTCCTCATCCCGTACTACGACATGGACACAAACATCATCTACCTGTGCGGAAAGGTACACTCGGGTTTTCCCTGCCGCGAGCCTCCAACCGGTCTGATCGCAGCACCTGGGTCTCCAACTCTGACACCGGCGTCTGTACGAAGGCCATTCATCAAGGTCTTTGGGTCTCCTCCCATCGGCTCCCTGTCATCATCAGCTCCTTTAGAACTGCGTTTTGTGTTGCGTGTGTTGTCCTTCCCCCGCGCCTCCGATTTGCATGGTTGACTAAGTGAGAAGCTCAACATATAATACTGTAATAGGGGTTTTCCCCCTATTTTTTGGCAACAAAACTGAAACCTTTTTACAAGGATTCATGTCTGCATTAACCACAACACTTGCAAAAAAAATATTATGATTATGCATATATTATCATAGTTTTTTTTGCATTTGACTGCAAGTATTGTGGTTAATGCAGACATGAATCCTCGTTAAAAGGTTTCAGTTTTGTTGCCAGAAAAAAGGGGGAAAACCCCTATTATTATATTTTGGTACTGGCAAAGGAGGTCTAATGATGAAACTCAACATACCTACATCAACCATTCACCACTTTCACTCCCATTGATTAGGTCTGTCCATCCTCACCTCCCAATGAGCGAGCCTTCAAACCCCAGTCCTAGCACATGTGTCCATCTGCGATCTCCACCTCGCGAGCCTCTTCCACCGCACCTATAACATCTGTGTCAGTCCACCTGTGACCCCCTCCCCCTGTCTCCAAGCTTATTTTACTCTCCATTATCCATTAGCAAGCCTTGACTCCACGTGCAGCAGAATGGTCTATACCGTAACAACCCAGCAATGTCTTCACTGGCGTCTTTCTGTGTGCGCCTCTGCGTGTGTGTATGTCTCTTGGTGTGGTGTTGCTCCGGTTATCCCTCTGGGCTACCCAAAACATCTTTCCCCGTGTGTCTTCTTTGTGTATGTACCTCGTGTCCGTCCACGAGTCCTTGTCCCCTGTTTCACGTTGGTGTGTTCAGCCTAGAAGATGAACACAAAAAATTGAGCAGTCTTTTGAAATGCGTGGTCAACCAGGTTAGTGTCTTAACTGTGTTGTTGGTCGACTGGTTTGCATCGCGTTGTGTTTCTAAGGTTTGTTGAGTTTCTCGTCTCCCATCTTCTTGCTGTATTTGCCTCCGTGCAGTTTGCCGTTCTGTGCATGCTATGTACGCGGTGTCCCTCTGTGTGTCCCCTCGCTGTGTGTTTCACCCCATTCCCACCTGATGATGAGCGCTTGTGTTGCGTTTGAAACGTCGTGATTTATTTTAATTTAATTTTATTTATTTAAATTTTATTTTATTTCTACACACTTGACTTTACCGAAAAAAAACCCTATGAGTATAATGCTTTCACTGCCCATAATGCACACGTCTCTACCTCCCTGTCAATGAGCCCTCCTCACTACTAAATGAGGATCTGGTGTGGTGTGTAAACATCGCCGCTGGGGTGACAAAGGCAGTCGGACGTGGCGCTGGCCACCCACTCCCTCGTGTACCACTGCTGGCCTTGATAGGTGCTCGCGAACTTGCCCCAAAAGTCTATCGAGGCTATACGGGGGATATTTGTCTTCGTGTGCGTGCCAGGGCGACTGCACGATCCGCTATTTCGAGGTCACTCCGGAACCTCCCTACGTCCACTTCTTGAACCTTTTCAGCAGCAAGGAGCCTCAGCGCGGCATGGGCTTCATGCCCAAGCGTGGCCTGGACGTCAACAAGTGTGAGATCGCGAGGTACGCGCGCGTGTGGTGTGTGTGTGTGGTGTGCAAGAGCATACATTCATGAGACTTGAGAACCCGGTTTTTATCGCGGGCATCTGAATCCCGGATTTTCTAACCGTAGGATCTCAGTGGTGTTGGCTCAGTGCTTTAATCTCTGAGCCACTCGGCCACTCAGCCAATTACTTTTAAGCAGCGCGTTGTAGAGGCTGGTAGAGGCTGTGTCGTCCTACAGCCTTTATTGTGGGTTTTGCGGATCCAAATCTAGGATCACAGCGGTGCCAACTGTGCCCCCTGACCTTTGAGCTGCCATGTGCCACCTCAACCACGTGGCTCCCACAGGTTAGCGCTCACGGTCGTGGGGAGACGTCCACCGATTGTATTAACGACTGAGCAGATCCATCGTGTTATAAACAACTCCGGTTAAAAAAAACTATCCCACTTTGTCCTATTTATTCCAGTTTTTATATTCAGTCTGTTCTCCTATAACAATGGTGAACACACTTTTTCTGGGGTGCTGATTCCAAATCTGGCATCAGTTTTTGTCTATCACATCAGGGGTTTGAGATATCAAATATTACATTTTCAATAAAAACTGCAGAAGAAAAATATTAAATAAATGTGGATATCTACATAAAATGCTATTATAAACACACTATCCTAAAAATACAGCACCATATTTTAACACTAAAGCAGTCACTGACTCGAGCAAAATCAATGAAAATGGGGTATGCCGATAGCATAAAAATGAGATGTGATAGAGCAAATCTGAGATCAAATTTGGAATCAGCACCCTGAAATTAGTCTAAAACAGCTGCAAAGTCCAGGCCAGAAAAACATGTTTTTTTGTTGTTGACCAGTGTAATGCATGTTTTGATAACGCGAATTGCAGATAATGCTATGAATCTATTAAGGAACACATTTTTTATGACGCTAATTGGATATAACTCGATTAAGTTAACAGAACTACGTCGCGTGAGTAGGAATAAGCGGCTGTACGGCTGCCTCGGCGTAGCATCACAGCAAGGCTGGGGATGCTGCTGGATGCTTCTAGATGCTACCCACGTGCCTCAGTCTTTGTTCGGCTTGCATACGCATCTCACATGTTATCGCAGACTGTGCTTTACCGTACATTATATACTAGCTACTTTGCCCGTCCTAGGACGGAAGCTGTAATATTGACGAAAAAGTTGAGCAGAGTATTATTGTATCTTGTGTCAATTTAATGGCAGTGAATCTTGCACGAAAGTACGTCATCAAACACTTCACTGCATTTCACTGTAGCACTGTATTAATGGCAGAGATTCTTGCACAAAACTACATCATAAAACACCTCACTTCACTGTCACTGTAGCACTGTATATCACTGTACCTTCAATTTGTTCAAATTCACTTGCTCTGATTCTTTATTCTCCTCTGCTTTCGGTCGCTGGGGTTGAAATAAATTGGAAATCGATACAATATGTGGAAAATCACCGAGAAATGTACTATTTTACCATAATGTAGAAGCATCAATTAGACTTACCTTTCGTCTCAAGTGCTGAAGAAATAAATAAAGACACCAAATCCACTTTGTTGCTGCGTAGAATTATTTATTAGATTCACTTTCAATAAAGAAACGTCAAACTTAGAGCGAATTTGCGAAAACAAAAATGTATTTCCGCTCGACCTTCTGCGTGAGTGTAGAAATCCACCCGCTCATGAATATTAATGACGGGGGGGGGGGTGCGGCATGTGGAGTGACGTCACGCGCGTTACACACAAATAGACATTCTTGGCTCATTGTAGTAGTAATTATTTATTGTAACAAGATTCTTTAGGAATCTCGATTCTTTAGGAACACGAATACCATGTTACAGGAGAACGGACGATATGTATGATGCAAGGGCCTGCTTTTCTGGTTTTGTAGTGTGGCTTCTTGAATCTCTTCCACATTTTTTATTGTTTCACATAAACTTTATGGCGGGACTCCCGGATCCCGAAAAAAAAAAAAAATCGTAATTAATTAATTTATTTTTGGCGACTCCTTCCCACCGCGCACATAAACACCGTGACCGAACTGGCGCGGATCATTCTGTTGTCATATCGTGTCCAAGCGTAGCGGCGAGGACGAATGCGCATGAGAAACAAAACTTTGAAACTTTGATTAGCCCGTCGTGTAGAGCTCGTCGAGAGGAATAGATTGCCGTGTCGTTCGCCTTCAACAGACGTAAAATGACGATTTAAAGCTTTCGTGACTGCAGGGATTCATATTATTGGTTCTTTCGGTAAAGTCACGTAGAAGGGAAATAATAAAATAGTAAACATAAAACAAAATAAAATTCTCACGACGTTTCGGCCACAACGCAGGCAGCCGTCCTCAGGTGAAGAACAGAGCTGAGGACGGCTGCTTGCGTTGTGGCCGAAACGTCGTGAGAATTTTATTATGTTTTATTTTATTATTTTATTATTTTCCTTCTACGTGACTTTATCGAAAGAACCAATAATATAAAAAGACAAAATGACGTCGCAACGCAGTTTATGTTGAGAGCCGGGGGCTTATGGGACCCCGTGGTTCTGCCATAAGGTTCATATACTGCATGCAGCCTGTTTCAGGTTTATACATACATTTCAAGTTGGATACATTTACTGTCCGTTCCAAGGTCTGAAAACACATTTTGGCTTAAAAGGCCATTGTAGATTTTGGCATCGGCTCCAGCTTTTACAAATTTGTCCCAGGCTTCATGATGCATTAGAGATTTAGCAATTTGAAGCTGGCATCATAAATACGGTGAATGTTTTATAACTTGTTCTAGGTTTTGCAATCTCTTCCAGGTTTTACAAGCTGCATGAACGCAGATGTGAGCCCATCATCATGACCGTGCCCAGGAAGGTAAGGACACCTTATCTTGCTGCAGTAGCAGCAGCAGCAGCAGCAATAGTGGTTGTAAATATTATGTAATTGGGTAAAAGCTCGCTGAGGCTAAAGGTCTCTTTCGCAATATAAATCTCCGAGCAGTGAAATTCGGAATAGATTTCGCAATGGAAAGTGTTTTCGTGCACCATTCGTACAAAATCATAACATTGAAACAAAATTGAGTTCACCTTGATTACATAGGTAAAGGTTCAGCCCTGATGTTGCTCGCTCATGCCACTGCTGTGGGATGGGGGCCTCCACTAGAGGGTAGCTCAAGAGAGCCCCCCCTCTAGGGGGTATATTGTCCCAACTCTTCCACAATGGACAGGCGTCTTGGAAGAGGCGGGGGTACCACCACTTTACCCCACCACACGTGGCGTGCCGATCGACTAACTGTGCTGAACCCATTGACACTGATGGGTTAGACATAGATTGTGGGGGTTTAATAAATTAGCCCCATTGTTGCGAATTGCCGCGCCGGGAAATAAAAACCCTACTGGCGACCTCAACGTTGTAAATCCAGCACCCAAAATGTGCGCGCGTGTATGTTGAACTTCTTTCGCACCGTACGTAGCCAACCGTGCTAATCGAAGGTGCGGGGGAAGGACAACTGAACTTAACATAAAAAGCGGTTCTGAAGAAATTAGTTTTCAATTTAGATTTCAAAGTGCGTAGCTCCAGATTGCTTCGTAACATCGGAAGTAAGGGTGTTCCAGACGGTTTATTCAGATACATTTAGCTTATTCTTAAAATTGTATTGTAATGTTTTATATAATGTAATAGCTTCAGCTAAATCTGGCTAGGTGGTGCTGTGATTGACTCACACTTGGAAGGGTTCACATTCAAATTCTGCTTAGGGGTTGGACTCATTCCATAATACCTCAGAGATCAATAAAACATGTATGATTTTGGTATGGATAAACTGGCCCCCACCACGAAAAATGTGGAATTTCCACTGCTGGCACAGGGCTTAAGTTTCAAATAACACACAATAGCGTACAAAAGCACTAAGACTGTGTGCATTATGCAAAAAACTATCAACAGTTCCTGAAGAAGTGCATTGTGGTCTTTGTGTATTTGGTCATCACTGACTGCTGCCTTCAGATGGTCACATCTACTCAGATTTTTTTGATGGTGTCCTTAGACAATCAGGAACTACTGCTGTTTTTTTGCATCATGCACAGAGGCTGGAGTGCTTTGTATAAGTTTTCGTGTGTTGTTTGAAACCTACGATTGTCCAGCCTGCAACGTCATTCTGTTTTGGTGAGGGTTTTCTCGTCATTGACAGACTTGACGACACCAGGAGCTGCCAACAGACACAATCGTAGATTGGGCCACGATGCCTCGCACTCCCGGTGACGCGATGTTTTATCCTGGGCACGGGTGCAACTATTGGGTATGCAGCGTGATGCGACACATAGATGCCCAGTCGGCCGCAAGGGGGCCCCCGAATCAACAGATGAAACGAGGACAAAATGTTAAGAAAAATTATTCGAATTCTTTTTTTTCTCTCCAAAATTAACCATGAATGCTAAAAAAAACATCGTTACAAATGAAGAAAAATTAATATTTCCGAAGAAAAAAAATACGTAGCGTAAAATATTAGTAGCGCTACTGGTGTTTGTTACTGAACCCCAGGATTGAAAGCAAGAGGCATGATAACTTAATTGTGAGTTTTTTTTACCTTTAAATATTTTCTAATAATACTGTCACTGTGAGACAGTATTATTGTATACAGGTAAAAAAAAAACATCCGTAGCTATTTCAGTAAAAGTAAAGTCGGGAGAAAGGAGGGGGGAGTGGGCACACGATCGTATGATGCATACCCCCGTTGAAATAGGTCAATGCGCCCCTGAATCTCGGCCATATGCAACCTTACAGGCAAGTGATATCTGAGCTGGCCGTGGTTCTCCTCTAGCAGGTCGACTCAGCCTTAAGTGAGTGGCTGGCTCCAGGGTGTGTGAACATAAGCACTTGGAAGACCGACGCAGCCGGGCGTAATGCCGGTCGCGTCACGCGTTCATGTGCCGTGCCGCCTATTTAATAATAATTTACAATCTTTACCGATCATATCTGGATTCGAACGATGTCCATTTCGCCTAGATCAGTGGTTCTCAACCTTTTTCTGGCTACTGTACCCCCGTGTTGAATTTTTGTTTCAACCGAGTGCCCCCCTTGCCGCAGCTAACGTGGTTCTGAGAAATAAATGTGAATAATGAACAATAGTATTTTAACCAGTTGTCCATTTTGTGAGGTATCCTAACTAGATAAGTAACTGCATGGGAATAAAACAAAATCAACGGGACGCTCAGCATGCGTGACCTATTTTGCTCGCGCTTGCAGGCGACGCTCGGAAACCACATTGTCTACGATCAATGAGTTTAGAAAGGTCTTTTATATCGGTCTAGGTTACCATATTGATTTCAATTTTATCTCTTGGTTCTTTCGGTAAAGTCACGTAGAAAGAGAAAATATTAAATTAAATAATGGCATACGACGTTTCGATTTCAACACAAGCAATCATCATCAGGTACAAATGAAAGAGAAAACAAACCTAGTAAGCTTAGAAATATAATGTAACACAACACAGAGAGTCGGTTAACATAATAGTCAACACCTTACCTGGTTGATTACGTTCTTCCAAAGATTGCTAAATTTAAAAGAGAGATAAAACACAGAACCGGAGACACATCGGCAGACACATAAGCAGAGAGAGAGATAACACAGAGACACACAGAGAGATTGAGAACCGCTGGCCTAGACGGTGGTATTAGTTATGTTTAAGGAAACACAACAACTCGGGTGACGAGAAGGCTACTAGCCCCCTTTCCATTTTTCCATCCGCAAGGTTAGAATTCACAATCGTTTGCCATTTTGGATGAAGGTCTCCCCAGGCTCTGTCTGGACATACTTCACCACGCCGGTCAGCGTCGGTTGGTGAAGAGTTGCCCAGAACCGACACTGATGTTAGCCATGGCTGACAATCAAACCCGAGTGGCCAGGTTGATAGCGCAATGCGCTAACCACTGCGCCACTACTCACAAATGTCTACTGGACAATCTGTAAAAAAAAAAAGCTTCATAGCTCATCGGATTCCTCCAGTATAAATACATTTTATGATCTGATTTTGATCTAACTTTCCTTTAAAACTCCGTCTGATCACTTCGCCCCTTTGCTGGGTGCCCGCTAGCAATACTTGACCCCCCCATGGTCTACACACTGGGGACGTCTTTGTCTTTGCAGTCGGACCTTTTCCAGGACGACCTCTACCCAGACACGGCAGCAGCTCAAGCAGCCATCGAGGCGGACGAGTGGCTCAGCGGCAAGGATGGCGAGCCCGTGCTCGTGTCACTGCGGGGGGGCTACGTGTCTACGCGTAGCAAGGACGTAAAGGTGCATTCCCTCTGCACCTTCAGCACAACTACACCAATACCAACCGTGCGCCATTCGCACGCTAAGTGGCGGTGACGTCAACACGGCGCCTGTGCCAGGCCAGGTGAGCTTTGAGGCCACGTGAAGTGTCGAAGACTCGCTGACAGGAGGTCACGGGACAGACCCAGGTGCCATGGGTTGACCGATTGAGATGACCGGCAGATGCACCAGCTGTGCCCCCTACTGTGCCAACTTGCTGGACTTTAGCCGCTCGTGCTCCGCTTGTTGTTGTGCGCGTCGCTCCTCTGCCCTCCATTTTTGTTGGAGGGCGACTGCCTTCAACTGACCAGAATTGTCTTTCATAGAGGCCGATCTTGACACCGCTGGTACCAGTCTTTGGCAAGTCCACCGAGCTGCACATCCTCCAGTATCGCATCAGTCCATATTTTCTCCGAACAGGAGACTCCGCCACTCCACCTGCATCCGTATCGTTACCTCCTGTCAGCGAGCATCAGTCTGCCTCACCCACAGAACCTGGGTCTATGAACCTTCACAACTCCACCTTCAAGGACCGGGTCTGTCGTATGACCTCCCATTAGCGGGGCCTTCAGCCTTTCCACCCTCAGCACCTAGTTCTGTCCTTTTGACCTTCAATCGAGGAGCCTTCAGCACTGCCCATGACCACATGTATGTTGAACTTCTTTCACACCATGCGTAGCCGACCATACTAATCGGAAGTGTGGGGGAAGGACAACAAACTTCACACACAAAAAGCAGTTCTAAAGAAATTAGTTTTTAATCGAGATTTAAAAGCGCATAGCTCCAGTGGCTTCTCAATATCGGAAGGAAAAGTGTTCTAGACGGCCGCAGAAGTGGATCTAAAAGTGCGTGATGCAATTACTTCATTCAATGGCTAGCCAAAAGCTGCTGCGAGGATGACCGGGGTTTGCATGATGGTTTACGCTCCTTGACGAGATCAGCGAGGTGTTGTGGTTCAGGAGAGGGCAGGTTGGTGAGACAAAGCACCCAGAGGTCGGGGATCAAGGGGAACATCTTAATCCATACGGGGGTGGTGATGAGACTGCGAGAGCGGCCCTTGGAGGTCAGGTGTTCATAGGCTAGTGGCAATAGGGCTCGCGTGACACACACACATTAGTGACAGTCGCCTAAGTCTGATACACACAGTCGATGTCGATTGTACCCAGAACCGGCCCTAGACCTTTGGGGGCCCTAAGCAAAATTTGGTTGGAGGCCCCTTTGATGTATGATTTTTTTCACCCACTAGCTAGCAGTGACTCTAGGGGGCCCTCTGCTGGCCACGGGGCCCTTTGCAATTGCAAGGGTCGCTTAGTGGCTGGGCCGGCTCTGATTGTACCACATTTGTGGGACCTCGTGGAAGGGTTGAAATTGTATTATTATTGAACAGTGCTAGTTGAATGGCGCTATCTTACATTGCTGCACGCTCATAGGTTGTGCGACGGAACGTGTTGGACAACCGCCCGGCGAACCCGGACGTCCGCAATGGAGCAGCTCCGCCCCCAACGCTCGCCCGCAGCAAATCCGTGTGCATGGGCGGCAAGGAAATGGTGAACACACAAACACACAACAACAAGGGCAAAGATCCCCCGCACAGCCTTAACAAACTTTTGGGGCATAAGCCATTAGAGGACACCTATGAAGGTGCGGTACGGCAAACGAGGGGGTGGGTTGCCAGTACCATGCCTTTGGCCCCCCAGTGGCGATGTTTACGCACCGCACCAGGTACTCATTGGAGGCTGAGTTGACCTAGGGGAGGCCCAGGACCAGTTCAGATTTTCGTCACCAATGTTGGCCTTGAGCAGGAATCGTACTAACTACTACTAACATACTAATCACGACACTACCACTCCCCAGACATATACACACAGTTGAGAAGACAGCAGGGATTTGCCACTTAAGTGGAAATGATCACGGGAACCTGTGCCACGTACATGTCCACACACGTACATATGTACACGAAGACGACCCCGTATAGTGTTTTAACAAACCGTTATGGCTAAGTGCTGCGACCACCGATGAAGGCCGATACAGCAGCACCAGGACTTGGTTCAGATATTCTCCAGTTGCGTTGGCCATGATCAGGAACCGACCTTGGGTTGCCAGATTCACATCCATCTATTGTGGACCACATGATCAAACCAATCCATCTATTGTGGACCACATGATCAAACCAATCCATCTATTGTGGGCCACATGATCCAACCAATCCATCTATTGTGGGCCACATGATCAAACCAATCCATCTATTGTGGACCACATGATCCAACCAATCCATCTATTGTGGACCACATGATCCAACAAATCCATCTATTCCTCATTAGGTCCTCCATGCCTGCTGGAGGACCTAATAGGAATAATACAGGGTGCTGCAAATGCATTATAGCACTTATATGGGACGATCGTTTTTAATAGAAAAACAACGGATAATACACCGTAACAAATGTATGTTAATAGCTTCAAAAAGCCAAATAGTCTCTACTTTGTTCGCCATCATTGTCGACGCACGCCTGGAATCTTCTCCAGATGGTCTCCAGAGCCTGGAGGCACATTTCTTGTGGTATTGTTGCAAATTCCCAGAAGTGTTAAACATTTTTTTGAAGCACCCTATATATATCTCTTTCAAGAGTATAGGAGCTCCTCACACAATCTCCTGTGGATACACCCAGGACTGATTGTAGGCAGGCCAGCCTCAGTGTGCCAGGCCAGTGCCAGCGTTCCTGTGAAGGAAGTCCGTGTGTTACAAGTGTAGATCGAGGGCAGGATTGTGGCCGAAGCAGCTTCTGCACGGTTCAACGCAGCTGATGAGGAGGAAACGATAACGAACTCGAGCGATGAATCTGAACCTGTCCTGGGCCTCGCCTGGGTCGTTTCAGCCTTAAATTGTTCAAGTTCATTTATTAGGTATAGTTCTGTGAGTCATTCGGCTCTTGAATCGAGTGCAATCGCAACAAACAGAAAACAAAAACATGAACAAGAAAACATCATAAAGTGTCTATGTGCAAACAGAAAATCCAAGAAAAGACAGCAAAATATTGCAGAAAGAGTACCGTACACCAACACTGTGTGCAAAAATCCCAGTGGGATGCAAGTCAAACAACAACAACCACAAGACAACTTAGATTAAGGCCATCAGTCTAACTGTGTACTACAACAAACAAACATGGCCAAACCAAAAATACTTTTCGAAAATCACCAAAATAAAGCCATAAAAGCAATGAAACAGTGATCATAGGAAATGTGACTGAATTTTTATAATAAACGACGTAAACAACATGTACTACCAAACTCTGCAGCCATAGCTGGCTGCATGAGTCACTCCACAACAAAATAATTACCTGGTGCGATGTGTAAACATCACGACTGGGGAGACAAAGGCGGCCAGGCGTGGATGCTGGCCACCCACCCCCGAATATGGCCGTGGCGGCCTTCATAGGTGCTGCTCACTGAGAGCACTTGCCCCAACAGTCTTGTATTGGTAGGAACCACCTGGTTCCACCAGCCCACAGGGGATTATTGTGTCCGTCCGTCCATCGTGCATCCAAAAATGGGAGGGGTGGGGCTGGGTGGAGAGGGGAGGGTGGGGAGGGGAGGGTGGGGAGGGGCTGGGTGGGGAGGGGAGGGGCTGGGTGGGGAGGGTGGGGTTGGGTGGGGTTGGGGCTGGGTGGGGAGGGGCTGGTCACCCCGTGGTGCCCTTATAAAACTCAACGTTTAACCTATTCACGCCGGCTTGTGCCTGCCCTCACAGTCGGCCATATTTGCGGAATACACCACGTCGCCGTTGACCCTGGCCATTGACCGAGCAACCCAACGTTCCTACCAGCTCCCTCCGCAGGAATGTGTTTAATGCTATACGTGGGCGATCTTTGTATGCTGAGCGTGCTTTCCCTCCCCCCCACTCAGTCATACGAGGACATCCTCAAGGACGTGTGCGACGAGGTGGGGCTCCTGCGCACGGTCGTGCGCAACCAGGAGCGCCGCATCGGGCAGCTCGAGGAGTCGGTGTCGTCGCTGACTCAGGCCTTGGAGGAGGCGCTCGCCATGGTCGACTCGGACGAGGAGCCCTCCCGGTCGACGGGTGGCCGGGACTGGCGCTGGGACGGACCGTCGAGCGGAAGGGACGCGGACGCCGGACGCGGGTGGGGACAGCCGTCGGCGCGCGCACAGGCAGACAAAGCGGCGGCGGTGGCGGTGGGAAGGAGGGAGCCCCTCCCGGACCCAGACAGGGCCAGAGACAAGGGCAGAGATGTCGCTGTCGACAGGCGTTCGGACGAGGGTGGGGTTAAGACGAAGGAGAAAGAAGGCCGTCCGCACTCAGAGAAAGATAAGGCGAAGGGGAGAGGGAATGAGGCCGAGACGCGCACGGACAAAGCCAGGGATAAGGCAAAGGACGGGGATGACTGTTCAGGCAAGGGCAAAGCTGCAGACAGTGAAAAGAGTGTCGAGAAAGCGAGGGCTCAAGCAAAGGACAAAGACGACCGCGCGGACTTAGCGACGCACTCAGAGAAGGACAAAATCAGGGATGGGGAAAAAAGCAGAGACAAATCGGTGGACAAAGAAGCGCACCTGGACAAAGCCAGAGATAGGTCTAAAGATAAAAGTGAATGTTCGGACAGAGCCAAGGACAGAGTATCGGACAAAGAGAAACACTTTAACATCGAGACACTGCTCGACAAAGACAGGCAGAAAGACAAACACTTTAACATCGAGACACGTTTGGACAAACGCAAGGATAGGGGCAACCACGAGGAGACGGGGGCGCACACGGGGAAGGATACGCCCCACGGGGACACTGAGGTGAGCGTTAGCGAGCCTAGGCAGACGGATGCGGACAAGGATGTCCCTGCCACCATTTCGGGTGCAGGCGAGGGTCACACGGAGACACCTGCCACAATAGCCGAGGTGCCCTCGGACAAAGGGGACTTGCACTCAGACACAGGCAAATCGCCAGGCACTCAGGCGGTCGTTTGACGCTCGTTCCGGGGGTCGAGGGGGGAGGGAGGGGCCGCTGGACGCGCGCACGAGCTCTTGAATTGAAATGCTTGACGAAAGAATATCTCGGAACCTTTTTGGATTGTGTCACGATTGTTTCCCAGGCGTTGAGACTATCAGACGTGCTGGGGCCGGAAGGTGCATCCATTGCAGGGCACGTCTTTGATAGAGCTGGCAGAGTTTCACATCTATCGATTTTTTTTCAGGGAAAGGCTGGAGAAGCTGATGCTACAGATCTTCTGTTGCCTTTTTTTTTTTAAATAGACACCTCTTAACGAGCAATTCGATGGTACTTCTTGAATGCTGTACAGTGCGGCACGCCGACATTTCAGTCTTCTGATATATTTATACATTTCGGCTGTCAGCAGTTGGCCAAACCGACCGAACAGTGCGATAACCAAAAGGATGCATTTGGTGCACATCGGTGAGCAGGTTTGAGATCATCACCTCGCTACAATCGATAACCCTGGTTTAGCCGCGGGTGACTGCCCGAACCCAGAACTGCAGCAGTCGCAAATCAGTGCTCAAATGCAGGCGATCGATCAGCCACCCTACCGTGTAACTCGGCTGCATCAAGGCACTTTTTTTTGGAATCGGTCAAAGGTTTGTGGATGTCACAATGCCTATTAAAATTGCAATTCTTAATGGGACTGCGTTTGTCTGAGTGACTGGAAGCCTTCTTAGACTTCGTCCCCCCCACCACCCCGGTCACTTTTCACCTCGTACGACTGGGGCTTTCACCCAAGTAAACCACTACCTTGCCACTGCTGCCCCGTAGTGGAGACGCGGTGTATTCACGGATTGGGGGTCAAATCAGTATTTTTGTTACATAGGTCAAACATCTGAGGTGGTATGCAGCTGATCTAGCAATCTGTCTTATTTCTTCTGGGCAGAACGAGTCATTACTAGTTTCTGTACGTCACGAAAAGTACTCGAGTAATGGAGTTTCGTATATATAAGGAGTTTTAAGCGTGTGCTAAACACACTCAATTTGACTTTAAATCTTTCCGCTCGGGAAAGCTTCGCCGCTGAGTCTTCTCCAAGACTCATCTTCGTCAATGTTAGGCGAGAGAGGTGAATTTATTTTTTGAGTCTTTGGTTTTTGTAGGAAACTTTTTAGGAATAATCGTTATTTTATAATGCGCCTTTCATATCGAATTGTCTTGACGTGCTGTATGTAAACAAATACAGTTTAATCTATCCTCAAAAGAACACATACAAATCAAATCGAAATGCAGTAAAACCCGATAATAAATAACAATAATGGTAACTGCACTTGCAACATAAATAGGTGGCGAGATGTTGATTCCCTCACCTGACATGCGGGAGGTCGTGGGTTCGATCCCGATCCTGGCGCCTGTATATTTGGAGTTTGCATGTTCTCCCCGTGTTTGTGTGGATTTTTTTTTCTCCGGGTCCTCTGGTTTTCCCCTCGACATTTAGAAACGTGCGTTTTAGAGTATTTGGCTGCTATACATTTCTACATGATAAGCCACGTCGGTGAGCTTTCATTTGTGGCCAGGTTGCTTCTGAAAAAGAGCTGCATAGCTCAGTGAGCCTTACCTGGTAAAATAAAAAAAATATTTTAAAATGTTATTTTTTTATTCAGACAAACCACAATAAAAGCCAATTATAATAATTGCACTCGGTATCGGTAAAACTACTGGAATTACTACACTCAACATTACACGTGAAATACAATGACATCCAAAAAGCAGGCATCTCTTATGAAAGCGTACAAGATAACCCCCCAAGTGCAGATGTACACAGCAAGCCTGGTTGCTGTACTGCCCTACACAAATCATACTTCATTGCCCAGTTGATGGTCGTTGATTGGTCCAGCAGACCAACCTCCCGTTCTGCCGGATTGGACATGCAGGAGAAACACCGTGTCAGCCGACCGGTGACAATTGTGAATGAAACCCTTGCACTGCTAAAGGCTCACACCCGGCAGTATTACTCCGGTAGCCGTTTGGGCCCCATGGTAAGCGAGATGTTAACTACCTCGCCTGGTATAGAGGAGGTTGTGGGTCTGATCCTGACCCTGACGCCTGTACAGTTGGAGCGTGCGTGTTCTCCCCGTGGTCGCGTGGATTTTTCTCCGGGTCTTCCGCGTTTCCCCTCCACATTTAGAAACATGCGTCTGGAGTATTTGTCTGCTGCTAAATTTCCACGCCGATAAGCCACTTCGTTGAGCTATCATTTGTGGCCAGGTGGCTTCTGGAAAATATCTATTCAGCCCAGTGGGCCTTACCTGGTGAAATAAAAAAATTGTTTCGTTGTATACTCTTTGGTTCTTTCAGTAAAGTCACGTAGGTATTTTTATTCTTATTTTTTATTTTTTTACCTACGTGACTTTACCGAAATAACCAAAGAGTATGGATCCTTGCAGTCACGAAAACTTCAAATCTAGAATGGTTTCGTTTAGTTAGCGTGCATAAACACCGAGGGATGGGATCGAGCGAGAGGGGACTTGCAATATGGAGAGACGCATTTCTGAGTTGCTCTGTTGCAAGAGAGGTGCCAACACCTGGCTTCTTCCTAGGGGGGTTCTAAAACATTTGCCCAATAATAGGCGTCTTAACGTGGCCGTGACGACAAATCAGGGCAGTTCACAAAAATTCAAGGGGTCCACAGTGCGTGGCTGTAGTCAAGGTCACACGTGGCCACTTGCAATTTGTATCAACTGCAAGTTGTAATTAGAATATGCCCAATGTGCCGAGCTATTAACGTGATCGTGTGCCAGATAAATGGCAGTGAAACTCATCCTATTCACCCTTCTGTATTCTGCACTCGCAACTCGTGTACATTCGTGACGGACTTGACTCATAAGAGTGCGCGACAAGAAATGCCGAGACTTACTTCACTTACAATCGACCTTCCTATTATCCACTCGTATGCACAGATACGAGGCGTAACACAGAACTAGTGGCCAATCCCATCCCATTAACCATTCTTATTTTCGCAGCTTTTGAACCAACCCAAATGTACCCGTAAGAGAGACCTCACGGAAGCATTTTATTTAGCCGGGCTGTGTGTCGAGGTGAGGATTGTGTGGATCAGGTGATAAAACTCCTTGTGGGGCATCGATGAGGTTCCACACCCTGGCTTGCCAGGAGAAGGTAGTACAGCAAAATGTGGACCCCCACCAGTTCCATCTCTTTGGGATCGAGTATTACCCCCTCGCACTAGTGGTGCTCTGGTTTCCTCCCACTGGCCGATTACACCTTACCGTACAAATTGACTCCAGGGGGCTTGTGGGTAAATTTGGCGCTGTCACACCGCTTGCCTGTCTTTCCCATGTATGGTTCTTCCCCGCATCTCCGAGTCGTTTTTTTTTCTGTATCTCAGAGTGAGCGATAACCGTGCATGTATGCACGCTGGACTTCTTTTGCACTGTGCGTAGCCAGCCGTGCTGATCGGAGGCGCACGTTACAAGTAGAAATTACGTAATTGTACAATTGATCCTTATTCGCGACACTCAAACGTGGATGAGAGGAGTAACCGGGAATTGGCCGTGATTTTCCACGCAGGAAAATAGCGGAACGTGCAGATCCACCCGTAGCGCCCCCTGCCTCGACAATCGCCAAAAGTAAAGAATCCCAGAATTGTGACAGTTCATTGAATGTTGGTGGGGATGGGGAGGGACTTAGAGACAAGAGGTTGGTGGTGACGAGGCTTGTGATTGACAGTTCTTGCCGGTCGCATATGGACCGTACAAACCCTCAGGGATATCGCACAAGCAACGAAGGAAGCTTTGGAGAAGCGTGGTGGTGGTGGTGGTGGCATCAGTGACATTGTGATGACCCCCCCTTGACAATGTCAAATATGGAAAAGAAAACTCTACAATAACAATAAAAAAAATCGCTCAGATTCACAATAAATGTACACGTCGTGGGAGGAAAACCCCTTTGCACTTTCTCCAGTCTCGTGTTTGCCGCATGGTACTGGCCACAGTGTGGGTGGTGTTAAGAGTGAATTTCCATCAACAGGTCGACGTTATTCAGCCGGCTGATGACACCGTGCTCTGTTGAAGTTTCCCCGCAGTGGGTCGAGCCAGTACTGCTCAATGTAATCAACCAATTCTAGAGAAGGAAAGGTCCACAGTGAATGGAATCTCTGCTGACACGCGTACACGACCGACCGATTTACGGCCAACGCTGGATGGAGGGCCTCCTTTCCACGCAATGCGGCTCACGTGGGGATTGATTGACCGTGAAGTCTAATGTCAGTGCGGGTCGGCGATGACGTGCGGCATAGCTGCGGGAGCATAGAAGTACAATACAACGAAGTAGGGCAACGGGCACAGGAACCAGCGGTCAGTTTCAAGCTGGTTTAAAGAGAAACGCGTTTCTCGTGACACTTTCACGAATTGGCTTTTGGATGAGAACTTTGTGGACTTTAATAATTATTAATTGGCTCATATTCTTCCTTCTCCTCCTTCTTCTTTCGTATGGCTGATGTAGATGCAGAGCAGCAACTACAAATTCACACTCAGGTGGTCAAGCCAGATAACTGCGTCAGGAGCACCGGAGTGCATCGCTGTGATGTCTCCTGCGTGTGAACACGTGTGCATTTAATCCACGTTGTAACGGATGTAATATTGAATCCTCTCCCCCTCCTCCCCCCCTCTCCCTGTCTGTGTTGCTTTGGGAATAAATCGCACGCGGTGCATTATGCACCGTGCTTCCGTATGGGTGGACAAAACCTGGAATAAAAAATAAGATGAAATCGAAAATGCGGGAATTCCCAAAGAAGGACGTCTCGATTTAACGCTGAAACCTCCGATGCGGCAACTCTGAGCCGAGGTGTGTGTCAGTCGATGGTAAAGAGAAGCGTTTCCCAAACGCCGGTCCTCACGACCCAATTGACTCGCAAATATGAATTCAGTCATTCCACGCTGCACGCGCCAGATGATTGTTAATCACGTCCCACGTGGCACGCGTAGCAATTCACGGCTGTCTGCATCGCGTTGAACAAGCAAAGGCAAAGATCCCCTGTATAGCCTTGCCAGACTGTTGGGGCAAGTGCTGTTTTCGATGGAACACATGCACACACACGTTTTTACGCACACAAACGCGCGTGTGTGCACGCATGCGTACGCACGCCCACACCGAGAGCTCAACCGTAATTGGAATCTTCTTTCTATTAACCCAGACGGCGTTAATTGCTTAGCGCGGCATGTGTGGGAACATGTTTGACAGTCGTCTGGGGCATGCAACATGTAACGAGTTAATTAGCATTTTCTTGTTTTTTTCGGTAAAGTTACGTTGGCAAAAAATTAAAATAAATTAAATCACGACGTTTCGGGCGCAACACGAGCGTCCTTTTTCAGGTGGGACAACTTAGCGAAAGCACAACCGCTTAAAAGCGAAAGCACACCGCTTACGTGACTTTACCGAAAAGACCAAAGAGTATGAATCACTGCAGTCACGAAAACTTGAAATCGAGAGCTAATTAGCATTTTCATTGGGAAAAATATATTAGTAAACGCGGAAAGACACTGCGTGGTGAGTCTGCGAGGACTGGTATTTGGCGAAAAAGCTGGCATAGAGGGACAACGCGGTTTAAGTGTTGATGTTGGAAGCAATCACATTCTACTGTGCTGTGTTGTCTTGTGTTACTATTAGAAGTGGGACCCGAGTTTTCCGCTTTGAGAGTCACGATTGCGACTCGTATCTCGATCTCCGAACATTGGGTGAGTCTGCGGCCAATCGCAATTGGTTCTGTGAGACAATTCTAAAACAACAACAACAACAAAAAGGTTATTTTATATAAGATTTGCTTTTATTCGGTGTGTTTTTTTTCCATTCAACCGATTCCAATTTGTGCTCAGTATTTTTGGGCAGTCGTATCTGTCAGCTGTGTGGTAAGTTCTGTTGCGTTTATTAAAGCGGCTTATGGAGTTTACGTGGAGGCTCGTCTGCTGTGCTTCAATGCGTTATGGGCGGACGGAGGAAGGGGGCCAGGTGTCACGTGCGTGACTTAATACATCACGAACGGCGTTGTGGGGAATAGAAACGACAAAATAAATGAGCGGACAATGTTACGTATTCCGTATCTCGAAGTAAAAAAACAAATAAAAGTACGTCCTACACAAACCCTTCGCCTGGCCGTCCTTCTGGGATTGCATAAAAGCAGCATTGATTCAAGGCAAGCAAATTCATCGCCGATTGACATCAAACATTTCCCATCGGCAGAGTCAGGCTTTTTAGAGGGTTTACACTATGAGACATCCTTTACCAGTGGCAAAATATAGAAATAGGTTTTTAACCTTTCAACTGGTACAAAAACTGACACCTTTATACAAGGCATCATGTTCGCAATAACCACAACACAAGCAGTCAAAATGCAAACAAAAAGAAACAACTCTTTATCATTATCAGAGTTGTTTCTTTTTGTTTGCATTTTGACTGCTTGTGTTGTGGTTATTGCAAACATGATCCCTTGTATAAAGGTGTCAGTTTTTGTACCAGTTGAAAGGGTAAATTCCTATTACTATATTTTTAGAGGGTTCTTGCCTGTAAGATTGGCAGTTCACCAGCATTCAAGAGAGTCCGACAGCTGCTTATTTCGAACGGCCGATGGAGGTTGAGCAGCGGAGTGTCTTCTTCGTATGTGTGGGTCGGGCATTGCGTCGTCACATGTTGCACTCCAGTCTGTTGTGGATGACCGCAGTCGCGGACTATTGGAGGTGATGAGAAACTTGTCGACGCCGACGCAGAGTTTGCTTGTCTCGAATCAACGCTGCTGAAATGATGCACTCCCAGAAGGCTGCCTGGCTGACGGGTTGCGTGAGACATACTTTCATTAAGAATAGGGGTTTTTTCCACCTTTTTTCTGGCAACAAAACTGAAACCTTTCTACAAGGATTCATGTCTGCATTAGCCACAATGCTTGTGGTCAAAATGCAAAAAATAACACACTTTGATAATATATGCATTGTCCTTGAAACTGATTGGTCTACACCAGAGATGGTTTTCTTTTGAGCCTCGACCCAATTGGTGCTCTACCAGAGGACGCCAAAAGGCGTACAGCTCAAAGACAATGCACTATCAAAGTAATGAGGACTTGGGGTAAGCATCAACATCATTAGAACTCCTTTGCCAGTTCCAAAATATAAGAATAGGGTTTTCCCCTTTTTTTCTGGCAACAAAACTGAAACCTTTCTACAAGGAATCGTGTCTGCATTAACCACAATACTTGTGGTCAAAATGCAAACAAAAAACACGCTTTGATAATATATGCATTGTCCTTGAAGATGATTGGTCCACACCAGAGACAGCTTTCTTTTGGGGAAAAAACTCTATTCTTATATTTGGTACTGGCAAAGGAGGTCTAATGATGTACATACCTCAATTGTTTATGCATAGACGGATTGTCTACTTATTTAGTTTAACTTAAAAACGTAGGTTTTAACTCAGCAAATTTGAACACACGTCACAACGCGTCAGAGCAATCGGAGGATCGGGGCCAGATTGAGCCAGTGGCAACAATCTGCACCAACCCGCGTGCTTTTAGAAAGCAGAATTTAATATTGAAAGCAACACAATAATGTAAACATACTCTTTGTTTTTTTCGGTAAAGTCACGTAGGTAAAAAACTAAATAAAATAAAACAACAAAATTCAATCATGACGTTTCGGAAGCATCACAAGCATCCGTCATCAGGTGTGACTGCTCCAGCAAAATTACTGTAGTGTATGAAGAGAGCTATTTAGAGACACGTGTTTATATAGGGTACTAAGGGGGGGAGGAGCCAAGAGGTGGGGGGGGGGCATGGGTTAGGCCGTGTGGCGTCGCAGGAAGTTGTGTCTCTAAATAGTTCTCTTCACACGCTACAGTAATTCTGCCGGAGCAGTCACACCTGATGACGGATGATTGTGTTGCTTCCGAAACGTCGTGATTTAATTTAGTTATTTTATTTTGTTTTCACCTACGTGACTTTACCGACAAAACCAAAGAGCATGGATTTTTTGCAGTCACGAAAAGTTCAAATCTACAATAATGTAAACCAAAGAAAGGGGAAAAACAAGGATGGATGGTCTCTCCACGCCGTGTCGTCCGTGGGGGTTGTTTGACCATACGTCACCTCGCTTGTGGCGGCCAGGGTCGGTTCAGATATCACTCGTCACTGATATTAGCCGTGACAGCAAATCAAACTGACGTCAGCCAGTGGCCGTGGAAACATGTCGGCATGTGATGATGCACAATCGTCGATTGCCACCAGTCCCTCTACAAGATTTGTGCATTTAAGGCTCGGTTTTTTGCAGTTTGTGCAAACTGCATACGGAATATTTTCAAATGTTACATTTAGGCTAGGGAGGCAGACAAATAATTCCTCACACAAAAAGGAGCATTTATTGCTGAATGAGCTCATCTGTGCTGAAATAAAAGTTATATAAACGAGAAATTAATGAAACATTACAAACAAGACGGTGAAAAGACTATAACCGATTTTCGAATCGAGTCACGACCTCCAATCGTGCCAATTTCATCACATTTCTTGGGAGAGGGAAGCGTTGCACGAAATAGGAATGAGGAATTATGAATCCATTATTATGAATCGAATACAAAAATTTTACCGAGTTGGAAACACAAGGAGTTGCACTCCGATGCCCCTTCTCAGACTCACTCAAGGCCGCAGGAGGTCGTGCGTTCGATCCTGACGCCTGTATATTTGGAGTTTGCATGTTCTCTCCGTGGTGGCGTGGATTTATCCCGTGCTCCTCCGGGTATATTTGCTATGAATTGCCACACATGCCACTTCGTTGCACGATCATTTGTGGCTATCATCTTCTTGGTTCTTTCGGTAAAGTCACGTAGAAGGGAAATAATAAAATAATAAAAATAAAATAACATATTTTATTTATGGAAATAATAAAATAATAAAAATAAAATAACATATTACATTTTTATTATTTTATTATTTCCATTCTACGTGACTTTACCGAAAGAACCAAGAAGATGAATCCCTGCAGTCACGAAAGCTTTAAATCGAAACATTTGTGGCTAGGTCACATTTAATTTTTTTAAAAAGAGCTAAAAAAAACTCAGGTGGCCTTACCTGTGTAAAATGAACCACAAAGTTTTAATTCAATTCACTCGGGGCCCATGCCCAGCTGCTCCCTCCACGCACGGAGCTGCCCCAGCGTGACGCCGCTCCCCCCGCACACCACCACCACGATGGGGCCGGGCCGCGGGCCCAGCCGCCCCTCGGCCACGAGACGACGCACCACCCCGGAGTAGACGGCGGCCAGCGCGGCTCCGCACGCCGGCTCCACGAGCATCCGCTCATCGTCCAGGAACCTCTGCACGGCGTCGATGGCGTCACGGTCCGAGACGACCTCGGAGAAGACCGCGTGCTCCCGGGCGAGAGTAAACGCCTGTTCTGCAACGCGTTTGGCGCCCAGGGTCTTGGCCACGCTGGGACACATGCACACACCCGTAGAGGAGTCGGTCAAATTTTTTTTCAATATTTACCAGGTCGGGCTATCTTCTTGGTTCTTTCGGTAAAGTCACGTAGAAGGGAAATAATAAAATAATTAAATTTTAATATAATTAAATAATTCTCACGACGTTTTGGCCACAACGCAAGCAGCCGTCCTCAGGTGAAGAACAGGTCTGTCGGGAAGACAGCGTCTGAATGAAACACCACCAGGCTTGGAGCGTATATTTAAGCTGGGTTGGAAGGGGAAGAGCACCTTGACAAAAATAATTTGCATATCAAGAAGGGGGGGCTATATTGCTTTATTTCAGAAGCGATAGCTCAACGAAGTGGCTTGTCCATAATAGAGGTTGTTGGGTTAGGTCGCGTGAAAATAAATGTGTCGTTAAAGCCGCCACAACCCGACGCAGATAATTGGTAAGGTTTATCACGTAAACACAAACATGCCAATTCGTTACTAGTAAACCCACAACATTTACAATTCGATTTAAAGCTTTCGTGACTGCAGGGATTCATCTTCTTGGTTCTTTCGGTAAAGTCACGTAGAATGTAAATAATAAAATAATAATAAAACATAATAAAATAATAAAAATAATAAAATAATAAACATAAAACATAATAAAATATTTTATTATGTTTTATTTTTATTATTTTGTTATTTCCATTCTACGTGACTTTACCGAAAGAACCAAGAACACTTACAATTCGAGTACTCGAATACTAAAATTGTAAATGTTGTGGGTTTACTCTCCAACACACCAGTGTGCTGTACTCGTAACGAATTGGCACGTTCTATTTACGTGACAAACCTTGCTGATTGGCTGTGTCCAGTGGTGACGGGTTTAATGAGATATTTATATTCACGCGATCTAACCCAAGAACCTCTATTATGGATAACATTGGTCGCAAAAGCCTACGTGTAAAACTGAAGTGGCTTATTTTCATGTGGAAATGTATAGCAGCCAAATACTCTAAACGCATGTTGTTTTTAAATGTGCTGAGAAAAACCGGAGGACCCAGAGAAAAAGTCCATGAGACCACGGTGAGAGACACGCAAACTCCAAATATACAGCAGGCATCAGGGTCGGGATCGAATCCACGACCTCCTCAATACCAGACGAGGTAGTTAACATCTGCTGGCCACCGTGATGATGAGAGAGAGAGACACGCAAACTCCAAATATACAGCAGGCATCAGGTTCGGCATCGAACCCAAGACGTCCTGTATACCAGGCGAGAGAGTTAACATCTCCTGGCCACTGTGATGATGATGAGAGAGAGACATTTGAAACTCCAAATATACAGCAGGCATCAGGGTCGGGATGGAACCCAAGACGTCCTGTATACCAGGCGAAGTAATTAACATCTCGCCACCACGGCGGAAGACCAACGTTTCACGCGTAGATAAAAAAAAATATTCTACCAATGCGATATAAAACATCTACAAAATATGGAAATACATGTGTAT